ATACTAAATCAATTGCAATAGCTAAAAGCATAACATGCACAATTAGGATCAGTTCTAGCATACAGACAGTATTCAATGAATGATAATGTTGATGAAAATATTGAAATTCCATCATGTCTATGAAAAAATACTGACACCTAAACTATTTTTGATTACCTATTGTTGAATACTCACCACCATCACCATCATACAAGAATCCTAATTTAGAATCTTGTACATCCAACATACAAAAATTCCAATTATGATGTTTAACATCAGCCCATTCTCTAACTCTTTGTAGTTTTGGGTTGTTCAACTCTTCACAAATGCTCCTTAGAGCAGTAACACTAACAATATCTTGTACTGCAATTATTGAAAATCTGAAAAATGATTAGATTATTTAGAAAATAATCAGAATGATTTGTGAAGACTTTTTGAATTGAAACATTTTAACTTGCATCCTAATGACAGAAATTAGATATTTTTTGTCAGATAATACCAATCTGCATTACAATTATGTATGACATACCCATTTTCAACAATAGTTCTGCATATAACCTCTTTTACTCCTAAATTACTAGCTTTTTCATGGGAAAAATCATGTAAATTCCAGGAGGCTAATCTAACAGCAGGTTCATCATTGCGAGAAAATTTGAAAATTTCATTGACTATAGGCCTTGGTGAATAAGCAGATAAGAGTTCAAAAATATCTGAAGCTGAGGAATTTGTCAATCCATTTGTGATAGGAATTCTCTGTGGAAGGCCATTACATCTACCATTTTGGTTTGGAATGGTGAAACCATTGGTAAGAATGCTGGGCCTTGACTCTTCAATGATCAATGTATTATTTTCATCCTCAACAGTCAGATATCTACTTATATTATTTAGTTTCAAATAATCAATAGATTTGATTTTCATCAAATCTTCCACCTGTAAAAATATGTATTATTGAAATGTTTCATAGGTCCAGTGTCATCTTTCTAACCTGTTTGAAGTGTCCTTTTTTATTCCTGAAATTTATTATGGCAGCAGCTGTTTCTTGAGTTATACCATTCACAGTCTGTAGCTCAAAAATTGTGGCTCTGTTAATATTCACAACTTTATTTGTTTTCAGTGTTAATCTAGACTCTGTACTCCTCAAACTATCAACACTTTGAGCTCTGGAAGAACTCAAACTTCTCCTTGATGAAACACATATCTCTGGTCTTAGATGTTGTAGTTTGTCAGCACCTATACCCCTTACAACAGCCAGATCTTCTATTTTTCGAAACCTACCAATTGCTTTTCTATGTTCCACAATACTTTTAGCTATTTCTCTATTTACTCCATCTAATGTCATGAGCTCCTCTTCACTAGCTATGTTAATGTTTAGTCGAAAAATTCTATCATCATTTTCATTAATTGTGAAAGTATGGCTCAGAGAATTTTTTTTGGTATTGGTCTTTTTGGTGAATGATCTCAAAGATTTTCTCCTACCTTTTGGTAAGCTGGAATTCTGCCCCATGTCTAATACATACTGTACCATTGAACACAGCTAATTAGTCATAAGTCCTCAATGAAAAATCATTCAGACAAGATTTTTTATGGCATGATTACGCGCGTGATTAGATAAACGATAGACGTAACAATCTAAAGTACAAGGTACAAGTTGTCAAGTCTATTCAACATTATTTTGAAACTAATATTGCAATTACTGGGATCCTTTCTATAGATACATTAAGAAGAATTTCTGATTGAAATTCATCAAGTATTTTATTGCTCCGACCAGTCTGACCTCCAAAAACACTTTCTGATTTCACCTTCAATTACTAAAAATAGTGTATAAAATATTCCAAGTAGATCATCATTGGATAATTTTAGAAATTTTAATTTGAAATCTATTCTTTTTATTTACTATTTGTTTATGTTTACACTCATGATATGACATAATTGACATATTGGCATGACATATTGACATGCTACCGTTGCCAACCTTTTGAAACGTTAGTCCAGGGTCGTACTTTCTTGAAGCAGTATTGCCAGCCAGTCAATTTATTGCGTATTATATATCCATTATCTTGACCAGTATCGGATCAATGAACTTCGTACTAGATTGTAATGACGCCCAATAATTTGGCACTTGTCAAATAAGATTGTTTTATTTGTTCAATTTTCGTGGGTTGTGATTGAAACCTGAGTATATACGTTATGAAAACTCACTCATGTTAGGTACTAATTATACTCTAATAAGCCAAATACCAATATTTTAGAATTTTTTATAAATCAATCAAACAAAAAACGTGATAATTTCACAAAATCAGAAACTAAGATACATTCTGATAGGGTTCACGGAAACTCCTACAACTGTGTATAGGTGAAACATATACGGACTGCGTATTTTAATATTTGAATTTGAGCGATAATCCGACAATAATTTATCACTTAAGGCGATTTCTCGTTTTACTCCTCATAAGAGTAAGCTGGAAAACACTCTTTCTGCTGCTGCGGACGAATGAGGACAAAGAATACCTTCAATCAATGAATAAAACTTATAGCGCTATAATTAATGCATCTTTGAGAAATACGTTCATTTTGGAAACGTATTAGAATCATTGGTGGCGAACTAGTTTATCAAAATTCATAGAATAGTACTAGATCTGATACAAACGTATCAGCACTGGAAACACTGTCGTAAAGGCGCCATAGTTTAGTCACTTGCGTCAGCGGAGTATGCGTCATAAAATGAAGTAGCGGTGGGTAGGTTCCTTGATGGAAATTGACGTCAAAGTCATAACGTCGATTTCCATCAAGGGACCCTAGCGGTGGACAAGGATTATTAACTCTCAACAGTGGGGTACTTCGCGTACGCTTCGCGTAATGCCGTCCGTGTCAGTCATATCAATGTTGCCAAATTGTGCTGATTTTCTTTAAGTTGAAAAAGAAATCACTTCAAAGATCTTGAACTGATAGGATAACCCAAAAAGAAGAAAATAGCATTTTCATGAATTCATGAAAGTGGAAAGGGACAAATCTTCAAAACAACACAATCTAACTCGCCCACAAGAAACCTTTACTCTAGAAAATGATTTTCTCAAAACGTTTTCTCAACTGAAAATGGCTCCACAGTACTTTTTTCAGGAAGGAAAGAAAATATCCCTCCTGCATAAAAAGGCCACTACATTTTTAAACCATCTAACCTCACTCGGCCTCACATTCACATTTCCGGTAGCATTGACAATGTATAGAATTGGACAAAAAGTTCGACATTGAGTGTAAAAAACGTAAGTCTGCCTGAGTCTTTCCATGTTTATATTGAGTTCATTGGTCTTTCCATTACCTAAGGTTCAAATATTCCACACAATTTTTTTCGAAAATATCCGTGAAAATTTCGGGATTATGGACCGATATTTCACGAACGAATCGAGTCACAGGAGTCAGAGAAGCAAGAAAAAGTAAAAAACTAAAAAGTACAATTGAAGAAGATTAAGAGCAAGATGATTGAAATTTCAAATTCTAAATATAACTCATTCAATCATTATCTTATGATACTATTCTTCCTTATTTTTACTGCCATCAGGTCAGAACGGAATGAAGCGGACACCCATGTAACGGTCCTGGCGGAGACGCTCGCAATGATTCAACATTTTAGGAACATTTCAACCTCTACTTCTATTTCATCAATCATCAATGTCATAATGTCAAGGTCAACAATAAACACTGTCAACAAATAACAAATAATAACAAAAAGTTGGCTAATTACAGTGGAATTTGTGTTTTCTGATCATTACCAATAAATACTGATTCTGATTACCTTCTTCATATGCGTGATACATTAACATACTGTCTCTGTACCCAAAGATCTATAAATAAATAAATATATATAAATAAGAATTTATATATCACCAACCAAAAAGCAAACATCTGCATGTTGCAGTGGTGGTTGCACCCCAACCACATACAGGGTGTTTCGAAATTCGACCGACAACGTTTGACAGGTGATAGCCCTCGTGATTTCATAATCATTGAGATAGGAACATTCGGTCTTCAAGTGTTCAGTTCTCGAGATACAGGGCGTTGAAGTTGAGAAATGAAAATAGTTGTTTTGCAATATCTCAAGAATAATTGAATATAATGCATTCAACTTCGGTATATGGTTTCATCTTTGAATGGGTCATTTTTTGACCTGGAAGCCATTCCGGACATTTTGTCCAGTGGTGCCCTACAGGGGGTTGTGGCATTTTTTCCTTCCATATTTTCTACGCCACTGATTAAATTTCGATTATTTCCAATTCCTCGAATTCATTGTTCAATTTTGTTCAGAAAATGCATCACCTTCAACTGAGCTGAAATAAACAGTTTTCGAGATATTCGACCCAAAATAGAAGATTGCATAGTAATATTTCATCATTTTCAGTAGTAGAAAATTGCAAAAATATTTTTCTGGTGTTGAGTAGATTAGATACTATTCAGATCTCATGCTATAGCTGAACAGAAATAGTTATTCCACGCATAAAGAGAGAACAAAAATGTTCGTAATTTTTTAATACTGAGGAAGATGAAAAATTACTATGCAAACTTCTATTTTGGGTCAAATATCTCGATAACTGTTCATTTTAGCCTAGTTGAAGGTGATGCACTTTTTCAACATAATTGAACAATCAATTCGAGAAATTAGAAATAATTGAAATTTCATCAGTGGCGTAGAAAATATGTGCGGAAAAGTTATCACAACCCTCTGTAGCGCACCTCTGGATAAAATTCTCGGAATGTCTTTCTGGTCAAAAAATTAACCATTGGAAGATCAAACCATATACCGAATTTGAATGCATTATATTCAATTTTTCATGAGATATCGAGAAAAAACTATTTTAATTTCTCAACTTCAACGCCCTATATCTCGAGAACTGAACACTTCAAGACCGTATATCCCTATCTCAGTGATTATGAAATCACCAGGGCTATCACCTGTCAAGCGTTGTCGGTCGAATTTCGAAACACCCTGTATACCACATTACTTCATAATTTATGGTGATAAGACAATAATGAAGAAAATGGGTGTTGATGATTACAAATGGCATTGTGATTTCATTCAATTAGCTTGGGATAGTGGTTTCTCTTTTGGGAAATATCAGTATCCTAATATTGACAAGTATAAAATCTGTGAGTACCATAATAATAATATGATATTAGATTATTCTAGATGAACTGAAGAATAGGTAAACATTTTGTAATTATCATAAATAAATCAATTGATTTAACTCCATGTAGCAAGTTTTCTGACCCTCTTCTATTTTGTCAATAGGTCTAGTGGATATAGAAAGAATTATAAGAGAAAGAGATGTGGCCTCTGTTGAAAACCAAATACCAACAATACTCCAGTTTACACTGGATAATGATCAAGCAAATGTTTTGGACCCAAATTTTGTGAAAGTTTTTCGAATAAGCCAATTGTCTGTTGAATATTTGATGTTTTGCAAGAAATATTTAGATAACTTAGTTATTTCTATGAAAAAAGAAATAAGTGATCTGAAACATGAGAAGAAAGAGTTGAAATCATATGTTGAAGAACTAGAAACTCATTTATCAGCAACAACAAATAATCTGATTTCTACTTTCAGATGTGAGAAATGTCCCAAAGTTTTTTCTTCTCAGAATTATTTAACTTCCCATTTCAAGCGCAGGCATGATGAGGAGAATATAAAAGAGAATTTAGAAACTGCAAAATTATACTCAGAACTAACAGAGCTCAGGGAGAAAGTGAATCTTGCTGAAAAAACTATAAAGGAAAAGGCAGATGAGCCTGAATCTGAAAAATTGAGAATGGAGGAATCTTCTTCTAGCAAATTTATAGATGAGATTCAAAAGAATTTTGTAACATTTAGAGAACAAGTTGAACATAAAATTGAACACCTACAATCAGAGAAGCAGTTTTTTAATGAAAAGTATGACAAATTGTTTGATGTCCTTTTGCAATACAAGAACAAAGAAGTTGAACAGAAAGACAAGGAGAGGATAGAGGAAAACAAATATAAAGAAGAATCCTCTAAGAATGAAGGAATTGCAGAACATGGTACTCAAACTGAAGACATTAATAAATTTAGCAATTTACAAATACAAACAATAGATCATGTAAATACTATTTCAATTGAAGAAACAGTGACTGAAGAGAACATTGCAACAAATGAAGAACATAATACAAATTACATAGTGGATCAAAAGATTAATGCTCTTGGAGAAGATATTGAAAATAAAGTAAGATTCCACCTGAATCTTTTTACTCCTACTATTATTTTGCTGAAATATTGATATCACCTTCAATACAAATAATGGTTTTTCAGATATCAACTGGTTTGTTCAACATACAAAATCAAATGAAAGCATTTTGTGAAAAATTAATACAATTTGAAACAAGGCAGAATGAGTCTTTAAGACTTGAAGAACCAGCAAAAAGAATTCAAACTTTAACAACTGAGAAAATGGAAACAGAAGAGAATAAGCCAATGATCAAGCCAAGAACAAAATTTAGCAAACCCACAACATTGGATAGAACTGTTGTAAATGAAAATGAAGCAGAAAAACTCAAGTATGAATTGAATAAAATGTTGTCAAAACATAGACATAAACAAAATTTGAAACCCAACTATAAATCAACATCAGAATCTGAAAGTGAAACAGATTCAATAAGTATAGTTCTTAGAAAAGAACCTTCTAAGATTCAAAAAGTTCAGCCTAAAATAACAAAAGTTTCATTGAAAAAGAGTAAAGGTCCTATGGAGAAAAATAAGGCACCTAGGATGAATATGACAATAGCTGAAGTAGAGAGGGAAAAAGAATTTCTGAAAACTGAAATAAATGATGGATTGCAGATGAGGTTGCAAGAAATGGGCATCTCTCCACATTGGAAAGGCATACCCAAAAAAACTTATGAAAGGGCACTCCATATTGTCAGACATCAGGCCAGTCAAAATAAAAAGGTAGGTTGAAATCAAATTCATTATAATGACAGGTGACCAGGAGGGTGACCATAAAAGTACTCATTTATATTTATAAAGTTATCATAAGCTTTTTCTTGATATCTAGTAAATTCTATATTTTATACAGGTGATGGTTTAATGGATTGTTTAGTATTTTCCAGATTATGATAAATTGAAGAAATCAATTGAAAACTCCTTGAAGCATGAAAGTGAATTGAAAACTACTAAGGGCAAACTAAGTCATGTGAAGCAAAAACAAAATCACAAGGAGCCCAATTTGATAAAGATTGGTTACAGGAAAAAAAATACAGAAGTGTAAGTGTGTGAATGTTTAGTAACTATAACAAATATTATTCAGGAATGGTTGTAGGTCCAATAAATCTGAGCCATCTACAAGACCACTTGTCATTATCAAAAATCGATCTTTATATGATACAGATTCAGCAATTGAAGATGAGCTTGAAAACAATAAACCTTTAAAGAGAATTGAAAATATCCAGAAAGCAGTAATTGAAGAGCTCAGAGTTGTGCAATCTCAAACAGAGCATGTGAAATCAGGAGACACAGATTCTGATTTGAAATCACTTTCACTGTCAGATGAGGAAAATAAAATTGAAACAAAAAGTGCAATGAAGAGTTATCCTTCCGATGGTAGTCTGGTCAAGAAGAAAGTATTGTTTGATATGGAACAATTTGATACAATTGATGCTAGTCAAGTAATTGACAAAGGAAAAACTGAAAAGAATATTGAAAGTAGTCTTTCAGATTTTGAGATAAGCTGAGCATAAATCAATTCACATCTTGTTGCTCTCATCAGGATGATAATATGTGTGTTTTAGTTGAAAATTTGAAATGAAAATAGATATTCTGGAAATCCATGTCACCATTGCATTTACAAGAATATTCAAGAATTTGGAGGGAGTTTCAAGAAAACGGTCTTCTATGAAGAAAATTTATATTTTATTCTAAACAAACTATATGTAACTTTTTTATATCCTTAAATTAATTATTGAATTAAATTAAACATTGAGATCATGTATGTTATCATCTTAGAGTTTGACAGACATCTTCTCTATCTGATTAGTTAAAAACTGAATATTCTTTCTCTTCTCAGCAATTTTCTTTTTCAGAACTGTCACTCCTAAGTTTTCTCCTAGTTTTTTCTTCAGCATTTTCAAGATCATGCATCTGGCGTAGGTATTTTTGAATTCAAACTGATGAGTGTTGAGCAATTTTTGAAATTCGTTTTGAAGATGGATTTCAATATCTTGAGAAGAAAGTAAATCTGTGGTTACATTGGTTATTTCTGCTTCTAGAGTTCTTTCGTCCTTTAAAAAGAAAGAATAATTGATTCAATGAATTTACTTAAGAAAATGAATACATATATCTTACAAAGTGGGTATGTAGTTTCTGCAAGTTTTGATCCATTTCTGCAGTCTTTCTCATGGAATCGTCTCTGCAAGAAAAAACCTGAGCTTCAAAGCATTTTTATCAATATCAAGATTTTTTGCATACGATTGTTTCTTCAAATCCGAATTCAAACTAGTAGTTTTAAGCTGTACGGAAGTTATTTCCTTATTCACGATGGATTGCCTGTTCATCGTGTTCTCCAGTTTTTGCAAATTTCGCTTAAGCATTAGAGAAATTTCAAACATAGTCTCATTCTTCTCTTTCCACTCCCTTTTAAGTGTCTTCAAATTAACAAGTTCATTCTTGTATGATGAATCTGACTGGTTCTTTTCATCTAGAGCCTTCTTAACACTTTGACCCTATTGAAAAAAAACTAGTTTTTCAATACAAAACTGATTAAATACCTACAACGATATACATGGTGTCCCAGAACAACGTACCATAAATTCTACAAGGTGAACTAGAGACCAAATAAGGCCGATTGAAATCAATTCATTACCTCGATCTAAGAAACATTTTATTTCCAGATTTTCTTTTGAAAGGTACTGCTCTGAAATTCGTAGGGCAATTTATAATAGTGAATGTGCATGGAAAACATGTACCAATTCAATCAATATTACAGGGAGGTATTTCGCATTCTCTTTTTTGCCTCATTGTGTTGGGTTATATTGACTACAATATAATCATGTTTATGAACTACTTCAGCATAATGTTGGTCATCTTCAAACTAATTTACTTATTTTTTCTCGATCGAATAAAGTTTTTTTACCAGAAATTTTGAACTGAAATTTGGAAATGACCAGCTCCCAAATCATATGATGAAGGGTTTGCCAATTGGTAAACACGATTATTGCGGGAGATAGAAGGGTGTTATACATATCTGATAATAATAAAGAATCAAATGCGTCAAATATCTTTTGATTAAATAAAAAATGTTGTTAAAAAGTGATTTTGGTCTCCACGACAATTTATCATGAATCCATAAAACATTCCAAATAAATATCACCAATCTCCTTCTTCCTAATTCTTAGTTGTTAAGTTGAAAGTTGACCAACTTTGTAATTCTTAGTTTGAATGACAGATGTTTAGATAGAAACCCTCATAGCATACCTAGATGTTTCCTTGTATGATTAAACTTTTTAGGTGCATAGTTGTTAGTTTAATTCTTAGTTTAGTTCTCAGTTGAATCTATAAACCCAGCATTAGAGATGATATATATATGTACCAAACACAAAATAGGTAGAAATTATAAAGAAAATTATTAATGCTTCAGTAGAAAGACACCAGGGACACCAGTATCCATTTTGAACTTACCTGTAATTCGCAAGTTTCCAGAACTGACTGATAGTCAAACTCAGTTTCAGAATTACTCATCTTCATTTAATTGTTGAATATTTCACTTCGTCGAGGAGTAGTTATCACGCAGAAATAATGAAGAAAAAAGGTGACTCCTGGCTAACAATAATTCTTAATGATGTATGATGTCTTCTGTTCGCATAGATGTCAAAAACGGATGTATAGAAATATGAGTCAAAAACATTGACTGTCATAATTTTATTGTTTATTAAACCAAAGCCACCTTTGCAAATGTTTCAATTTGAATCAAAGGACCCCGCACTTTTAGTAGGTGAAATGGTTCTCGGTGAAATTTTCTGAATTTTCAGTATGTTGTAGAATTCGATGAACTGATTGAACCTGCAGAATCGTAAAGTTCTTTGATGAACAGATTCTGAGATACAGGGCGTTGAAGTTACAAATCGGTATTTTTCATTTAATTATTTTCTCGAAATTCAAAGATGCCAAGTACAATTTTCTTCGCTCATATCATTAACGAACCTCCATATTACTCAACATAATTCAGATGGTTCAGATGATGTAATTGTTTACAGAGTGAAACATATAAACATTTCAGTGATGTCTGAAAATTCGATGTAATAATGAAATATCGAAAAAATAATTTAGGAATGCAATATACTATTCTCATTCCATCATGAATCACAATTCATACATTTCATACAGGGTGATTTGAAAAATTGGTGACACCTAAGACCGACTTATTCATACACATCCTGTATATTCGAGTGAATTGTTAACCTTCCAAGATAGCTGATACCGTATGAACATGATTTCGTTGAGATATATAGGGTGATCATGAAGATTTTCGATGATGAAAATGACAAAAAATCGTGTTTTTTGAAATCACCCTGTTATTCATGATTAACTCGGTGAAATTCCCTAATTATTTTTTAATATATTCATCATTCGCTCCTCAACGCTGTCTTGAAAATTCAGTTTCCTATCATGACGGGTGTCATAGTTATTAATTCAGGAACTTACCATTTGCATGAAGAATTGAAGAGACTTGTTCACTTACATTCGCATAGTGGCCGATATTTTTCACAAATAGTGAAACGTGAGAATCTGGAGACGAAAATAAGTTCAGTATTCATATACAGGGTGAACATTAGAAATTCAATAACAATAGCAGATATATGAATTTAATAATATTAATATAATGTACAGATAGTTAGGCGAATTTCGATTCCAGGATTCAACTCTCCCTCCCTCCCTGGAAGCGTGAAAGACCGAATCATTCTCCCATCTCCTAGGTATTGTTCGTTTTTCATTTTGGCAGAGCATGTATACCAACGAAATTCGCCTAACTATCTGTACATTATATTAATATTATTAAATTCATATATCTGCTATTGTTATTGAATTTTTAATGTTCACCCTGTATATGAATACTAAACCTATTTTCGTCTCCACATTCTCCCGTTTCACTATTTGTGAAAAATATCGGCCACTATGCGAATGTAAGTGAACAAGTCTCTTCAACTCTTCATGCAAATGGTAAGTTCCTGAATTAATAACTATGACACCCGTCATGATAGGAAACTGAATTTTCATGACAGCGTTGAAGAGCGAATGATGAATATATTAAAAAATAATTAGGGAATTTCACCGAGTTAATCATGAATAACAGGGTGATTTCAAAAAACACGATTTTTTGTCATTTTCATCATCGAAAATCTTCATGATCACCCAGTATATCTCAACGAAATCATGTTCATACGGTATCAGCTATCTTGGAAGGTTAACAATTCACTCGAATATACAGGATGTGTATGAATAAGTCGGTCTTAGGTGTCACCAATTTTTCAAATCACCCTGTATGAAATGTATGAATTGTGATTAATGATGGAATGAGAATAGTATATTGCATGCCTAAATTATTTTTTCGATATTTCATTATTACATCGAATTTTCAGACATCACTGAAATGTTTATATGTTTCACTCTGTAAACAATTACATCATCTGAACCATCTGAATTATGTTGAGTAATATGGAGGTTCGTTAATGATATGAGCGAAGAAAATTGTACTTGGCATCTTTGAATTTCGAGAAAATAATTAAATGAAAAATACCGATTTGTAACTTCAACGCCCTGTATCTCAGAATCTGTTCATCAAAGAACTTTACGATTCTGCAGGTTCAATCAGTTCATCGAATTCTACAACATACTGAAAATTCAGAAAATTTCACCGAGAACCATTTTACGTACTAAAAGTGCGGGGTCCTTTGATTATCCCTGTGATATTCAGTGAAGAAAAGTGAAAGTACCGAGTGAGATAGGTAATGGTTATTAATGTTTTTTACCAAGTTATGAAAACCGTAGTTGCAGTTTTTTTATCGTGTACTGGGCGTCAAACAATAAATAAAAATAACAATATCTCGAAAATAGTTTCACATCGGCCTAAATAATATGAAAAATAATTAGAATTTCAAGTAGAATTCAAGAAGATCTCATCAAAAAGGTACGAATATACAGGGTGTTCCATTGAAAACATATACATACAGGGTGGCCCACGGTCGATGGTACCTTAGACGTATACGGAAAACGGTACATTGGATTATCCTGAAAATTCGGTTACTCTAATAAGCGTTTGTGATCTAACGATTCAAAATATTGTCAGCGATGCAGCGTTGCCACTTTTACCAAAAAGTAGCATCATCTTTGTTATTTCAAATGGAACACCCTGTATTTCATTGCGTTTTGAGATTCTTCTCGGAAAGCTGATTTCATCAATGCATCACACTTGGGGTCTAGCAAGATTTATTACAGAGATATAGGGTGTTCAAAATCGAGATTTTTCAATTTCAGGAATTTTTTGTGTCGAAACTATTCATTATCGATCAAAACGGCTCACATGTCCCTATCTCAACTTTTGATTCACTATCTACTGACATTTAATTGGAACAGATACAGGGTGATTGAAATTCTGAATCTTGGACCATCCTGTATTTTTTCCAATTAAATGTCTGTAGATAGTTAATCAGAAGTTAATATAGGGACATGAAAGCCGTTTTGACCAATGATGAATAGTTTCGACACAAAAAAATCCTAAAGTTAAAGAATCTCGATTTTGAACACCCTATATCTCTGTAATAATTCCTGCTAGACCCCAAGTGTGATACGTTGATGAAATCAGCTCTTCGAGAAGAATCTAGAAACGCAATAAAATACAGGGTGTTTCATTTGAAATAACAAAGATGATGCTACTTTTTAGTAAAAGTGGCAACGCTGCTTCGCTGAAAATATTTTGAATCGTTAGATCACAAACGCTCACTAGAGTAACCAAATTTTCAGGATAATCCAATGTACCATTTTCCGTATATGTCTAAGGTACCATCGACCGTGGGCCACCCTGTATATTGATTGATATAATAACCCAACCATGTAAAAATTGTTTTTCTGTTTTCAACATTGTAATAACAGCAGAAAATGCTAATAGTCTGCTATATATAGTTTTTTTTGACCAATAAAATTTTAAAAACCATAGTTGCGATTAAGCTTTTTTAATCGTGTGTATATACTGGGCGTCAAACAATGAATAAAAATCATCAAAGGTATACCTATATTAGGTATATGTACCCAGGTGATTCAATAAGGGTAACCGAGAAGCTGTATCTCAGGAACTAATAAATTCCTAACAAAAGGTATGATTCCAGGAAGGAAGGTTTGGTGAATAAAATAAAGATCCATACATACCATTGTGGTTCTTACCGCCCTCGCTAGGAGGCGTGTTTAATAAACTATTAGTTCCTGAGATACTGTACCTCGTCACCGTTATTAACTCACCTGGTATTATAAGAAAAGAATTGCAAAAGTAGAATTCGAAAAGATTTTATTATAAAAAGGTACGAATATACAGGGTGTTCCATTGAAAAAATATCGAGTAATAAATACTCAACCACGTTAATGCTCAATTATTGTTTTACTGTTTTCAACATTGTAATTAATCAGCAGAAAAAATGCTAATAGTCTGCTATAGTTTAACCAGTGTCGTAGTTTCAAAATTATAGAAGTTACTATCCCACTGTAGGTAAGTCAGTTTTATATTTTGTTCAAATTTTGATCATAGCAAAAATAAATATCACCTTTAATGCAAATGTGCAACCTATTATATCAATATCACTGATGAATCGAAAAGCTCTTTCAACCTATTTGAGATATATGTACAGAGGGTGCGCAAAACTGGGCGTTTTTACGGACTATCTCAGTAACTATATAAGGGAGATTATATCGAAAAACCGATATAAATAAGGGTGTCCGGGAAGTTCATGTCGAAAATGATAGGGCTGAGAGTGAGCCAAAATATTTTTAGTACTTTATATAGGAAAATGACTACTACTCACTACTCCTTTTTCTTCCACAATTTCAGAAAAAATCGCAAAAATATATTCAGTGTGTCACATTTTTCAATGGTATGATTTAAGCATATGAACATTAATCAAGTATACATATATCACACATATCTATCAAATGCCATAATTATTTCCTCTCAAATTCTACATACGGGCTGTTTCCGAAATTGGGGCGAAAATTTTTTTCAAGATATGGAGCTTCAAAGTTATGCTGAAACTTTTGTAAATTATTGATCAGAGGTTAATAGCCCAACCCAAGTGTTTGCTTTCTGCGAGATCACAAGCACCAGAAGTATCAATGACTTTGCAATATTGCCGGACGTTCAATGATAGTTTGAATATGTAGTATGGTGGAAGAGCACATTTTTGGAAAAAAATTCAGAACAATTTTTTCTTGTGATATATCGTTCGCCCCAATTTCGGAATTTTCCTAGTAGGTATAGGTATGCATTTGCAGATGACATTATTTGGACCTAGTGAACCAATTCGCACGCACTATATATACAGGGTGGCCCATCGAAAAATTGACATCGGGGTTTTGGGTGATAATATCGCAGATGTGGAAAAACCCTCGGACAGGTTGATTGTAGGTCAGAGGGGGATATTTTTTTCTCCTACATGCACTACTGTCACTGCAACACTCGAGCTATGGTGTGAACAACCCCTGAAATTTGTATAGGGAATAATGGTGGAGTGGCACATCTTTTGAAAGCCCGTTGAGTTCTCTATCCAACGGCGTCCCGATTTTGAAGTTGGGATGAACCGTTTGGGAAAAATTGAATTCAGGAATAAACCTGTACGATAGTTATAAGAGCTTACTTGTACGTTTCTGAAACACCCATTTGCAAGTTTTTGCTCAGTTTTTTTAGCGGTAATTTAAAAATAAATAATGGTGTGTACAGTGGCAGATAGGGTTGAGTTGATTGAACTGTATTATTTATGTAAACAATAGATGTGCGAAAAGGGCTGCTGAACGGTTCAATCAACAATATGGTAGGACCCTCATGACAAGTTTTCGATGGGTCACCCTGTATAATATCATCCAAATACTTTTTTCTAATTTCGACATATAATTTGACACTTTTCAAAACTGACGGAAGTTTTGAAACGGCTTACTTTACGTAACCAGTTGCGTAAAGTAAAATTTTACATAACTGGTGATGTAATGTTCATTTCAACACCAGTTACGAAATAAGAATATGGATGGACGAAGAGAAATTGATTCAAATCTGTAGCATAACTTTTTCATTGATATGCTTAACCTTTTTTTCTTCACATCAATTTTCAAATTTTCTATAAGCAATATCATATCGTTCTTTTGATTTTTCCGGAATCATGGTTAATAGTGCATTTTGTGCTGCTTCCTCAATATCACTTGGTAAATCAGAACTTGAATCGGACATTTTTCACCTATAAAAACATCAAACGATTCTATTTCGTCGCTAGTTTGTGACCGTATTGTTGTTTGACGGATACTTCAAAGTGGCAGGCGAAGTCAACTAGCCTATATACTAAATTTTGTGAAGAGTCGGCAGAACTCATGTAAAACTGGTCATTATTTTTGTTCATGCGAAATGTTTCGTCAAAATTAGAAAAAATATTGTACGTGACACGTTAGGAAACGCCATTTTGTGTAACTCTGTGATGTTGCGGGATCTCGCTTCGCTCGTCCCGCAAAATCCCATTGTTACACAAAACAACGCGTTTCCTAACTGATTACGTAAATATCTATTTTATTACTTGATGAGTAAGTAGTGTTAAAAATCAACTTCTTGTTTTGCTTTCTTTTCTCTTACTAGGTACCCACCTGTTCATGATCTACCAATTTCAGAAACCTGACGATATTTAAAATCCACATTGTCCGTGTTGACTCATGTCTCCTCAAATTTTCATATCTGAATGAGAGAATAACGAAAACTACTGATAGTGACATTTTTTCCTGATGAATTTTAAATAATGATTAAAATTCCTGTGAATGGAAAATAATATAGTAGGTACAGTAACATATCCTCGGCCTCCCACATATTCCTCGCCTAAATATCCCAACACTCCCAGCTCTGTGCTAAATTGACCAATTACCTAAATTATGACAATATTAAGCAAGAGCGGAAAATGAACAACTCGCACATACCATTTTGAACTTTTAATTGCTGCACGTAGATTCCAGCACACGACAATGCTCTGACAATGATGATAAGCGGGAGATAAGAATTTCCTTAGTAATAATCTAGCCATAGTCATGTGTGCATAGTGCCATTATGATATGACGAGAGAGATGTTCGATTTGTATATTGAATGATTGGTGTTTTGAATTTGAGGATGTGATATTTTGTTCAAACGGTGAGTTTTTTTTTTGAGATCTTATATAATGCATCGTTGATTTATTATTTTGTAATTTCTGTATAGGTGTACTGCTCAAGTGCGGTAAAAACGCCCTGCACGTCAGCATGAATCAAATTTTTAATCTAACAGAGAAAATATTCAACTGATAACAAAAGTAAATCTTTGATATCTCATGTCCAGAATGTTAGTTCTTGTGTAAGATTTTTTAGCAATCTAAGTAATTACGTGAGTAATGCCTTTTATTATAGTTTGAAGTTTGAATGAACTGGGCAAGTGAAATTGTAATTAATAAATCAAGCAGCTATTATCAAAATTCACTTTCAAGCCAAGATTGATGAAACTTTGAAAATCCACAATATCGGAGCGAATTTTCTGAGGCAGTGAAATATTCAGATAAAGTAACATAGGTGTAGGGCTTGCTAGGAGACTAGAGTAGGAAGTAGTTATCTGGTCATTTGGTATAATTTGTTCCATAATAATATAATTCAAATATCAATTTCACTTAGATGTTGGGAAGACGTGTGTTTCAATTTTACTGTAATCAACTTGTTGAATGTGGTTATGGTTCCTACAATAAAACCTTGATGTCTATTAAACAGAAATATAAAATTGTCTCTTTTCTATGGCCTGAAAATATGGTGATACAGATTTATAGATAGGTAGAACCTGAAAAAATAAAATGACAAACTCCTATTGAATTGATTTTACGTTCTTTGCAATATAAATAATTTATTTATGCATCCATGATTTGCTTGGACATCTATCTCTGAAAGATAAACAAATTCCTATGTAAATAAAATAAGTAAACAATTCGGAATTTATTTATAAACAATGCCTGTTTATTTCCGCAAAATTATAGTGAGCATTCGGATCCCTTGGTGCATACCAATCATTATCAATAACGAATTAGCTTTCGACTTACGATAATTTGTTATTCATAAAATGATAGTGACTAATGGGTTACCAGGACCGGTCTGGGAGCTGGCTCCATTTATTCATATATAATACCACAAGTGATAATATTTTGCCGGAAATATTCGGTGATTGTTACGACAGCTTGTTGCCTAGTAATTTCGTGAATGACATTGTTATCAAAACTACGAGCCGTAGGCGAGTAGTTTTGGATCAATGTCATGAGCGAAATTAGAGCAGCAAGCTGGAGTATGTCAATCGACGAATATTTCCAGGAAAAATAGTATCACGAGTTGTATTCGCATGACTATTTCATGATTGAATTAGACAATTTATATAAGAAATAGGAAACATAATTTAAGTATATTCCAACTCAAACTGCCAAGAAGAACATAATGATAGTAATGAAATACAGAATTCAATTTTTTAGAAATTAACTACCTACTTATAGTTATTCACAAAGTGGAATGTACAATTTTGATGAACAGTATTTTGTTCATTATCTTGGAGATGGTTGCTCTCAAAAGAGTGTATACATTTGCTATCCAATTCGAACAAAATAAATTGAATTTATGTGACATGAAAAAATTAAAAAAAAATTATTGTCGCCGACGGGCTTGAACCACCGACCTTCGTATCACCGCGCAACAACCCTATCAGTTGAGCCACATCACCTGAGTTATATTAGTCACAATAACTTGAGTGACTGAAGAAGATTACTTTAAAAAGGAATTTGAATTCTAGTATTGTTGTCAGACAGTCAACAAATATGCAAACTTATTAAATTACACATGAAACGTCCAGCCAGAATGAAATTGTCTCGCCTTTTGTACAAAATGTCTCACTAACGCGAATTATAAGTAAATAAAATGAAGTAGGTACTTAGGTTATTGTCTCTTGTGTCAGATTTGAATACAAAGCAATCTTGACCAGACACGATGTCAAAATTTTATCGCTGATAAACGAGGTTTGTTGGTCACGTGTGGGTCAATTCGGCTTCTGTATTGGTAGAGCAAGTCCGATAAAATTTAATGAACAAAAAATATCGCTAGAATACAGAAGAAACCGTGAAAATGGTCGATTCTGATTGGTTCTCGAGATCAAGAGTGGAATAGTCACTTATATACAGCTCTTCAATTGCAAAATATTCATTTCAAGACAGTAAATAGGAATGTGAGGAATTGTATAAAGGTGAAAAAATATTCGATTATATTAATTATAATAATAATAATATTCCTTATTATTGCTACATGATCCATACATACATAATATATCTTTCTACTTTCATTTCAAAATCAACTCATTGAAATTAGATTGTTTCTTTCATATCAAATTCAACCTCTCGCTTATTTATACAGTGTGTTTCTCAACTCTACCGGGATATCTCATGAACTGATTCAGGGTCCGATAATCAAAGACGATCCACTATGAGAAATCGTTTTCATTTAAAAATCTTGATTTTTTTTATATAAACAAAAGTTGAAACAATAAGAATTTCATGCTTGATCAATTTATATTCTAAATTAATCATGTCGGTATACGTAAGAACGTCTTAAAGGCGTATTACAAGGCTTGATTTATTATTAGATCTGAAATTAATATAATAAAGTAGTATGTACTCGAATGTAAAACGTGAGTTTGGTGGTGTTGATTGGGAAGAACATGATGGTGTCGGAGATATAGAATGAAATTTAGAAGAGAACCAAGCATCCCATCGAATGCCAATAAAAGCATTAATTTTTTTGTGAAACATAAAACGAAGCAAGTTCTTGAAAACTTTATTTCCTAAAATATATCACCTCCTGAATTATTTCGCACTAATTCATATTTCATAATAATTACACAACCTGTATAGTAAAATGAACTTTGGTCCATTAATCGTTTAAATCAATGAGCTCTTGATTGTTATTTAAAAACTGTACAATTTTGTCATTATAATAGGTAATACCTGAACCTACTCAAAATTTTTAGAGACCAACTCTGAGCATCATGTTAGGTAGGTATATACAATCATATTCAAAATTTGTCCATTGACAAATATTTCGAAGGATTATTGATTCGTTTTGTTGGTAAGAAAATCGAAATGTAATCAGAAGAAGACGTCGGACACAAATACTAAAAAATTTAACTAACAATAAATTGGCAAATAGGTAATCACTATTCAGTGTCTAGTGTTCATCTGTGTAAATTAGTTTAAAATAAATGTGTAAGTTCACCATTAAGTTCAGTACCTATACCTATTTTTTATTTGGATGAAAAAATGATTGTGATGAGTGAAACACAAAAATCTCAGTGAATGTACTTAGCCACCTTAGTGTTCTATGTTATTTTGATTTTTTCTAGCAATCACTATGACTAGTGTTAAAATAACCGTAGTAGGAGACGGTATTGTTGGAAAGACGTGCATGTTGAGCACATACACAACTGGTGATTTCCCAGAAGAATATGTACCCACAGTGTAAGCATTATATTAGATATTTTTAATTAGTTGATAATAGCATAGCTATAATAGTATAGTACAATCCCAGCGAGCACAAACATCCCTGGGATGTTTTGAAAATGTTGGCATGAAGATGTTATTTTGAGACGTAATATGCACTGACCAAAGAGGTCTTTGAAGGATATTGAAATATTGTTTTTGTTCTTCTGTGGCATTTCTTTGTTTGCCTACTGAGAGGTATCCCTGGGATGTTTTGGGATGTTTTAGAAATGTAGGCATGATGATGTTTTTTTGAGGCGTAATATGCACTTCTCAAAGAGGTCTTAGAAGGATATTGAAAGTATTGTTTTTGTTCTTTAGTGCCCTTTCTTTGTTTGCCCCACCACAACGTCTCATGCTTACGTCACAATACGATGAATAAATATATAAAAGTACGAATTCATCAATACACAGCTTCTCCGCAGTTGCAAAATTATGCATTGTGGAGAACATTCCAAAAATTGGGGAATCTTTTTCGAATGGGCTTGTATCACAAACAATTTTTGTTTCATAATTCGATAGGACTCACCCAAACTAGCTCACCACCGCAAACCGTTTCTTGCTGTAAGCTCCCTACGTTTTATAAAAAAATTATTGAAATCCCCGATTTTTCGGACCTCTGAATACGAGGCGATGATGTGACGTCAAAACCCTAGTACTGAAACAAGACTATTCCAGACAGAGATGAAGGATATATGATTTCTGACTGAGTGAATTAGCTCGGGATCACAGTTGAAAGAATTAATATATCAGTTGCCTCAGTCTCCGTCGGGCGTATGGTATTTTCTTTTAACTATGGCGTGAGAGTTTTCTACGTCATAAGAGGGTCCGTTTTCAGAAGGTACTATTATTTATGTCCAATAATAGAATATTCCAGTTAATTTTTCGATCGAATTATGTCGTCGATCATTATTTATATATAAAAGGATCATTATAAACATGGTTTGATTTAAAAGTTCTACTGAGGTGTACACGCCCATTATATGTCTGTGTGTAGTAAGCACTACTCAGAAACCGATTAAGAAGGTAATTTCATATCAAGAAAATATTTTTATGTTCAATCTATTTTTAATGCATTTTTTCATTCAAGGGAAATGGAATCCTAATGCAAAAGTTCATTTTGACAAAAGGCTTCAGAAAAGTACCCCGAAAATGTTTTTTTTTACAGCGATTTAATGTGCGCAAGACGCGTTGAAAATGTTCTGTTGTGTTCATGAAAAGGCTATAAAAAAAAAAACTAGGGAGAAGGACATCTCGATAATTGCCACCTGCGGCGAACATTGGCTGTTCTATAATAGTTCTATTCATGTATGAACAGAACATCGCAGTGGAGGTTCAATGTCTCGAAATTTCGTACTTTTAACATCTCTGAGATGTTTTTGTGCTCGCTGGGATAGGATATATAAATAGTACCTAGCTAGTTAATACTTTGATACCCAAATGTTCAACAGAATTAAGGTCTATTTTTATGAAGCTACAACTTTATTGTATTTATTTTCTAGGTGACCGCCTTTAAGGGCTCAGCACTCTTATTGTTGAAACTATCTTTTTTTATCGACCTTGAAACACTTTCCTTTTCGTTAGATTAGCACGTATTACAAAATGCACATCGAATAATTTGGTGACTTCATTTTTCGGCTGTTATCGTGATCAACTTCGACCACTATCGCTTAATTATGGTCTAAAATTCCAAAAATTACTATTAGAGAATTTTGAATGATCGAAAAAGTCGTATTTTCAGAAAAAATAATGATGAATTACTGTCGAGGATCACTTTTAACATATCTGTACCGATTTTCAAAAACACACAGGGTTAGATAGATATGTATATATAATTTATTCTTGGAACCCATTATCTTATATTGTGATTAAAATCGATGTATTTCAAGTGATTGTAAACGAGAATCAGTTGTTTGTATGAATAAAAACCCTAATATGAAATGGCACACATTTTGATTGTGTATTTCAAATACTTATCTTATAAAACAATTTTGAAAGAACCATAAAAAATATAGATTTTAATGGGCCGATTAGTCCTTGAGGTGGTATACAGGGTGTGTCATTACTAATTGGAAATATTTCAACTATGGAATCCTAAGCTCAAAATATGAAGATTTAACCCAAATCACCTAGATGACATGTGTCTCCTGTCTGAGTTACAGGTTACAGGGTGTTCTATATGAAAATTCAAAAAATTATGCGTTCCAAGTACTTTGAAACGGGAAGTGTAGATACTGTACACCCTACTAAATTATGTTAAGAACGTTTCAGGCTACTACCACAGGCGTACGACAGGGTCAAGTGAATGGTTAATCACAAATTCTACGCCACTGGCGGTATTGCCATTTTATCACAATTTTCCTATTCTCCGGTACTTTATTTTATATGTAAATATCGCAGATAACTATTTCTCCATAGCGATAAAGTAATTATTTTTCAGATATGCCGATATTTTGAATAATTGATGGATTGCAATCATTTCGCACTTCAATCCATATTATCAAAAAAACATAATTACCTAATCATTTTCAAATTTTTGAATATAATAAATAATAAAACACCCTTTAACAGACAAGAGACACATTTTGTCTAGGTGATTTGGGTTATATACCTACATATTTCGAGCTCATGATTTTATAACTGAAATATTTCCGATTAGTAATGAAATACCCTGTATATGTTCTATAAGAGGTCATAAACCCACATTCTGACAGAGGTTTTTACTTTACCGGTTTAATCGGAACTATCCCGGGAATTTCGTTCAAAATAAGTTGTTATATCACAACAGACCGCAAGTGATACCAAGTATCGAGTCAAATTAATTGTAAAAATCAGCGGTATATTGAAGAACATAAACTAAAAAAAAATGATGGCCGATGAATCTGTGATTCGTGAGGCAAGAAGATTGTTGAGGGACAGTTCAGGAAACCCGCAGTGGTTACGGATACCTATCTTTTTCTATATTCTATTGGCTAATGGCGTTGATTGATATATTTCGCTTACGCTCTATTGGGAAGCGCTCGCATTATTTGAAATATTTTCTCGATTTTTGCTTTTATTCAATAGTAAACGTGTAAAATATAAATATTCATTCAGGAAAATGGATGATGTTTCAATCAATTATCATTCGAGAATAATTATTGATTTTTTTATTGACTCAAAAGTGAAATTTCACTCTTATTCTTACAGAATTAAGTCAAGTGAATACTTAAAAAATTGAAATTATATAAATTCTCATTCAAATGTCAAAATATAATGTACAGTGTGTCCAGTTTTCGATGCTTTTGCGTGATATCTCAGTTATCTTTGGAGATAGAACCTTTCGGTTTTCGCGGTCCTGTGCCACTTTTTTGTGAAACTCAAGATGGCCTAATCAGATTTTGCAGAACTGTTTCCGTTTATGAGATACAGGGCGATTTTGAAAATTTATACTTTTTGGACCCCCTCTATATCTACGAAGTTTATCAGCGAAAATGTCAAATTAAAATCTTAACCCATAGAGAATTTTATGCAGAATCCAGTGGCGCACAAAAGTTTTTTTTCGGGGTGTGGTTTTGAAGATACGACTCAAACTCATGATTTTTCAAATTGAACACCCTGTATTTTACAAGCTCATTAAATTCCTTATTTTTTTCCTTCGAAATGATATATGATGTATGAATATAATATTTTCAAAAATGTTCAAAAATCACTAAAACACTGAATTTTAATAGTGGGCTATGGGTTTTTCGAGGGATTTTCATATAAAGAAATTTACAATTGAAGGAATATTTCCTTTGATTGTTCCATGAAGGGGGAAATAACCATTCCAAAACTAATTAACTTGCAATACACAAAACTTACCTGATACCTGATATCAACAACTGTATGTTAGGGGAAATGGATATCAATTTGAACATGTCAATGAATAAGTTACTGAATAATTCCGGAATTCAATTGTTTTAGTAAATATTTAATCGGGTGCTTATTCTACATTATGAACTTTTTATTACTATTTATTTGTTGCTATCAGGTACCCAAGTTTAGTGTTTTGTTAATTAATAAGTGTTGATATTAGTTTCGACCTCTCCATGGAAAAATTTGAAGAAATATTTCTTCAATTGGAACGTTTTTTATAAGAAACATCCATAACCAACTATCAAAATTCAATATTTTAGTGATTTTGAGCAATTTTGAAAATTTTATATTCATTCGTTATATATCATTTTGAAGACAAAAAAATAAGGAATTTAATGAGCTTATGAAATACAGGGTGTTCCATTTAAAAAATCATAAGTTTGAGTCGTATCTCCAAAACCATAACCCGAAAAAAAAAAAATTAAGTGCGCCACTGGATTATGCGTGGAATTCTCTATGCGATAAGATTTTGATTTGACATTTTTGTTGAGAAACTTCGTGGATATAGAGGGGGTCCAAAAAGTATAAATTTTCAAAATCGCCCTGTATCTCATAAACGGAAACAGTCTTGCAAAATCTGATTAGGCCATCTTGAGTTTCACAAAAAAGTGGCACAGGACCGCGAAAACCGCAAGGTTCTATCTCCAAAGATAACTGAGATATCAGGCAAAAGCATCGAAAACTGGACACACTGTACAGGATGAGCGAGGCTCAATGTCTCAGCAGTATCAGAAGAAAAAGAAAAACGATAGAAATTATGTTAAAAGAGGTTCATGAATGTTATTGAGGTCCATTTTAAGCCTAATCTTTAAGAGTACCTAGCTTTCCATCAACATTTCACTATTAGAAGTTGTAGGCAATCAATGTGCATCGGAAAAACATCGTCCTTAGAATCCAAGTTCTGAACATCCACACACACATCCACAGACACATCCTGAAAATAATTTACTATAGTTTTTTTAAGAATCTGAATAATTTTCAACTTACCCATGAAGGACAATTTCTGTTTGTCTTGCTTTTTTTGCATCCAAAGGCAACACAATATAAATAACTATTGTTTATTAATTCGAAATCACAAACCTTTTCAACAACAATCAATTCACACCAACAAATTCAGTCCTTTTGAAGAAACAAAACACGAAAAATTTAGCGATATTTCACATAACAAAAAACAATGAAGTTCTGTCTTCACTTTTTTTGCCTGTTTATATAAAAATAAGATTTCAAGTACTCCAATCATAGGATAAAAAAAAATGTATACACCAATCCGCCATTAAACAATAAGAGTATGAAAGAGACAGGTATCTTTGTTGCAGCTGCCCCTGTCACACTCTGGTGCTATTGATTCGTGGGATCTCGTTTCGCACGTCCCGCAAAATCCCATCGTTACACAAAATGACGCGTTTCCTAACTGGTTACATACATTTATTTGTGAAAAAAAACTGTATTGAATCAACTTCTTTCATGATATTTCCACAATTTTAGGAATATTAAATAGGTACTGCTTGTTTCCAGATTTGAACATTATGGACAGAAAATTATTGTTGACGACGAAGAATATGACATGACCCTATGGGATACAGCTGGACAGGAAGATTACGAAAGACTTCGACCATTATCTTACCCCCATGTAAGCATTATATACCGGGTGGCCCATCGAAAATGTTCCATCAAAGTTTTCTCCGTTGTGTTACTTATTTATTATTATTAACATATTCCAAAGTTGGAACCTTGAAGCGTTACTGATGGCATCAACTTTCGATTTTCATTTGGGAGTGATTACTGAGATATAGCATGATTAGAATTCTGAATCTTGAACCACCCTGTAATTGTTCCAATCAAATGTCAGTAGATAGTGAATAATTTTTCAGAAAGGGACATGGAAGCCTTTTTGACCGATAATGAATATTTCGGATACAAACAAATAATCCTGAAGTTGAAAAATCTCGATTTCGAACACCCTATATCTCTGTAATCATTCCCGCTAGACCACAAGTGTGATGCATTGATGAAATCAGATCTTCACGGAGAATCTAAAGATGCAATGAAACACATGGTGTTCCATTTGAAACTCGAAAGTTGATGCTCGTTACGCTTCAAGGTTTCATCTTTGGAATATGAAAATGTGTCCACCGACAAATTGAAGGTGAAACGTTTTCGATGGGCCGGTATTATTATGATTCCTGAATAACATTTGATTCTTTTCGAATTCATATTTTTCAGACGAACTGTTTCTTGGTGTGCTTTTCTGTAGACAAAAATTTAGCGTCGTATGATAATGTTTCACTAAAGTGGGTACCCGAAGTGAAACATTTCAGTCCAAGTGTACCAATAATTGTAGTAGGTATGTATTCATGATTGAGGTATTATTTTCGGACTAGTAGGTAGGTAGAGTCCGACCACTTCAACTTTGGGACAGCACGTGGTCGCTTTATGCATATATGCGTTATTGAGTCACGTGGTGTCCCAAAGTTAACGTGTTCAGACTCTATTGCATGCATGAACGAAGGATAATCAAGTCCAGATAGGGAATATATTATTTTGATATTGGTTTTCCTTACTTATTAGCATAATAATATAAGTTTTTTCACTAGACAAATTGTAGTTATTTTGAACTATCAGGAGTGAAATAACTAAATCAATAATTGATTTTATGCAATTGTTTTACATTGGTTAAGATATAATCTTTCTAAATACAACTCTTTCTCGAATTTCTCTGACCAGGATATTTTTATTCGAGGCGCAAAATAATTCCTACAACCTAATGGATTTCAAGTCCGTTATAAATCGGTTTGTTCTCATATTTTTTCGTGGAGAAGGAATTTGCTCGATATAATTTGAAAGACTCCTGGAAAATCTACTCATGTATTATCAGAGAAGATTTAGATGTTTTTCTCCTACACAGATTATTATTTCACAATGACTAATAATTAATCCCTTATCCCTTTGTTTAGCAACAAAGACAGATTTGAGAGAGGATCCAAGTTTGGCGTGTTATTCTCCAGATGAGGGCAGAAAATTGAAGAGAAAAGTACGAGCTCAAGGATACATGGAGTGTTCAGCACTGAGGATGGAAGGTTTGAACGAAATTTTCGAAGGGGCCATCAGAGTTCACAAAAAATTCAAAAATAAGAAACCATCGACTAGGCAATGTACAGTTTTGTAGTATACAATTTTTATACAATCATTAGATAAGACGTTAAATGCTACCGAGTAATAAGTGATAAAGAACATGTTTTTTTTTTATTTCACTAGTTATATGCAACAACAATCTTTTATTAACAAACGAATGGAAAGAAATAACTAGGTCATAATATAATTGTACCAAAAATATATATGTACCTATTCTATATGCAGTATATACATTGCAATTATTTATAAAGAATCTTGAGTATCTTGTATCCTTACCTACACACGAATGCACTTCTTTCAAACAAGTAGGTACACGAGTTCTATTCTTCAATTCAAAATACGGAATCCGAAATACTTCACTAACTTTCTCCTACTTTCCCAAAAAAGTATTTCGTAGTAAGTACCTATTGAAATATTTTGAATCATGAATTATTATTATTATTCTAATGTTCATCACAGTTCTATTTCAAAATTAATAAAGGCAGAAAACTTCATTAACAAAACTTGATATTGTTGAATTGCTTTATTAAATGTCACACAAAAACTCTTCAAGACATTGTTCTCTCATGTCAGTAATGTTTACAGCTTCTTCTCTTTCTAAAAATTGTTCTGCACCATTTGAATTGTTTATTGGGGACCCATGTAAATAGAGGGACTCAACTTCTGGAAGTATGTTGGATAAAGTGACTGAAAATAAATCATCTCCAGGTGGTATTAACATGACTTCTCGCAGTTTATCTAAAATAAACAAGATAACAAGTTTTTTTAGGTACATAAAAAGTAAGTATTAGGTATTTCAATATTTTTGTAGTAAGGAACGATGGTAAGGATAACTCAAACGATTTGTCACAAAAAGTCACTTGTTTGAAAATGCTAAGAAGACAAAAATATGTTTCGTTCCTGAAACGAAACATCCAATTAGTAGAAATTGACATTTTTTCAATGCAATCTTTTACATTTCATTCCAAACAAGGGGTCATAAAGAATTTATCTTTGAGGCTTCTGAAATAACACATACTTTTATTAGTAGAAAACAAGAGCGAGAATAACGAAAAATCTAGGAAAATGAACATTTCACGTCCTTGATTAACTTAGGGTCCTCAGGGACAGTATTTATTTATTATTGATTGTGATGCCATGGATGTCATGACATGCTTGAGGTGACGGGATCGATGTCAACATCAATTTTTAGGTTATTGAACATGCACAATCACCCAAAATTTTTCATTTCTCTCATTATTATTATTCTCCTCATATTATGTTATGAACTTCATGGCGGACACACATATACCTCAGACTATCATGGAACGTTTCCAGATTATCTGAAACTAGAAGCATGTTTTGAGCTACCTACCCTGGTTTTCTTGCATCGCATTTTTCTCCTGGCTAATAATTCCTGAAGTAATCCCATCTTTCTGGAACAAAATTTCTCGCTGAATCGCCGTTTGGAGATCAGCTTTCTTGTAACTAATCTCTATACGCTCATTATTGTTGATTACAATAGATTCTTTTTGAACTAACGAATCCTCTGCAGTAGGTTTTGAATCAGCATTCGTCTGCACCTTTTGCGGTATAACACTTATGTTTCCAGTGTTCAAATCGACGTTCATCACAGACTTGGAGCTATTTTCGGGGGAATTTGGTCCGGATTTTTGCTCAGGAATGAGGACAACAGATCCCGGCGGGTTCATAAAACATTTGTGTGATTTTTGGCTGACTTTGTATCGAAAACACTTGTTACAGGCTGTACATTTGTATGGCATAACTCCTGTGTGGATTCTTCTATGTACGAGGTAGGATACCCTTTGCCTGAAACTTTTTCCTAAAAAAAATCTGCATTCATTATTCAGGCTTGAGAACAAATATACACTCAGGCTGACTAAATGTCACCGCTACCACGATTTTTTTCCATAGCAAACTTGATTGAAAGCAACAGGTAATATTTCTGTCAAGTATTATGAGATTTCAAAAATCTAATAATATACTAGTTGAAAAATTAATTCGAGATGTCGCTCAGCATGCTATTTTACAACTTTAAGCTATCGTTTTTTCATGAAAAAGTAGGTTTTCATCTCTTATTGAATTTCGGAATCATTCAATAACTTATTCACTGAATTGTTCAAATTGATGTCCATTTCCCATAACACACAATTGACACAGTTTCTCAATAAGTCTTGATACAGTTAGAGTCACAAATATCTTGAAGACCTTCGTTCAACAACAGAGGCAGTTTTCCAGGAATTACAAAGACATCCTTCAATGATTTTGAATGCATTAATAAGACGTATTGAGAAAGCGTTTGAGGGAAAGTGGACATCAATTTGAACAATTCAATGAATAAGTTACTGATTAATTTCGAAATTCAATTGTCTTAGTGAACATTATAAGATTCCAATTTGACATTTTCGCTGAGAAACTTCGTAGATATAGAGGGGGTCCAAAAAGTATAAATTTTCAAAATCGCCCTGTATCTCATAAACGCAAACAGTTATGCAAAATCTGATTAGGCCATCTTGAGTTTCACAGAAAAGTGGTACAGGACCGCGAAAACCGCAGTTTTATCTCGGAAGATAACTGAGATATCACGCAAAAGCATCGAAAACTGGACACACTGTACATAACAGTTCCGTAGTAGACGAGGAATAATCGTGGTAAGAAATGTTTATTTGGCATTTATTTTGTTATCAATGGTTTTCCCGCTTTTGTTTGATCACTTTTTGTTGATTCAGTTACTCATTTAGAATAAATGAATCTAAATCTGACCATTTTGTGTATGAATATGATTTAGCAGTGTATATCTGTAAAGAAAATTTATTCTCAAATATACTACCATGAATCATGGTATCTTCCTGTTGATGTTACTTGATCTGAGATATACACCATAAAAGTTAAATCACCTGAAGAATATTTAAACCATGCCTCAAACAAAAACCTGAATATTTTCTTACCACATGTTTCACAAACAAAAGGTCTTTCCCCGGAATGTATTCTTGCGTGATTTTGTAAAGTGGAAAGTTCTTTGAATGCTCTGCCACACTCGTTACATACATGCGGCTTTTCTGACGAATGGTACAACATGTGTTTATGGTAGGACTGTTGAAATGTGAATGATTTGTTGCACAGGGAGCAACAGTAAGGCATTTCTCCTGAAAATAATGGATTAAGGGTAAAGAAACACATTATACTTACATAATATACTAGATGTCCCATTCAAAACGTATGTGATGCTCATAATTATATTTCAAGATATTCAACTATTGTTCAGTTGAAGAGTTAAAAATCTACAGAAAATATATGAAACAGTACATTCTGGAAGTTATGAGGTCAAATCGAAAATGTTATGAATGTTGTACTAAAAATGAATCCAATAGACAAAATTAACATTATGAAGAGCAGGTCATTGGTTGAAATATAAGCAAATAATCAATCAAACAATTTCACTCAAGTTGTTGGATCTATTGAAAGCAGTAAATAAAACCTTGTTCAAAAGATAGAGATACTGCAATATTTATTGCTTCAATTGCTTGGCAACATGAGTACATTTGAGGATGATAGTTTTCTATGCATTACATTAGCTATTTACTCACCTGTATGCAACCTTTTGTGTTTTTTCAAAAAATATTTCGTGGTAAACATTTTTGAACAAACATCGCATTCCCAGTGTTTGTTGTCAATCACTTTCGAAGTTGAATTTTTCTGAAGAATCTTTCCATCATCAACTACTTTCTTGTCATTCACCACCTCATCAACCCTTGCACCGTCCTCTTTAGTGCTGTCACACCCCGTATCATCCCCACGACCGTATCCATAGTGGGCCACCCTCAAGTGTACCATCAAGCTACCCCTCATCCTGAATTGCTTGCTGCACAAATGACAGTGGTAATTGTATGTGCCAGTTTTCTTATCAGGCGGCGTATGATGCAACAATTTCTGGTGCATCTCCAAGACATTTCTGTCGTTGAAGGAAAAGTTGCAGATATCACATTTTATAGATTTGAGTAGTGGGGTACTTTTCTGTCCTGGGTCAACTTCCGATTTGGATACATTCTCGATGCTCTTGTCGATTTCTTCTTGAATATCATGTTCACTAACGGTTTTAGTCGCGACAGCGTTGCTGACATGGCTAAACAAATGTATAGTTAGTTTGTCCAAACCTAGCAGAGTTTCAGAGCACACTGGACACGACACTAACTTGGTAGCGACGTTCACTAAAGTACTCCTAAGTGAACCGACACCGTCGAAATGTGGGTTAGAACACAACGGGCATGATAGAAGTTTTATTTCCATTTTACAAGATCTGAATTTTTAGACACTGATGGTGGAGAACTGCCATATCATTTTATAATTTGGTGATGGTCTATTTTCGGTATGTATGTAGAATGTTTGGAAGTAAGCGCTGGGAGTATTTTTAGAAATATAGGGAAGTCCAGTGTTGTCGAATTCGGAACCATTGTGCCAACAACGATTTTATTAATAATTGATAGAAGAAAATCTGGAGAAGAATTATTAAAAAATTATGGTGATGATATTTTAGCGAAACCAACTATTATCCTGACAATATGCCAAACTACGAGAATTCAATCTTCATATCTTACAAATACATTCATTAAAATCCATGAATAAGACTAATTAACGGTGCATATTTCCACACTTCCTCAAAAAACTGGCCAAAAAGTACCAAAAAACAACCATTTCTGATTGAAAAAATACAGTGTATAGGATGTTCAGAAATGCATAATATTAAGAGCGTATTTTTTATATGGAAAGAAGGAAAATAGTTATTGTTTTTACTAGACAGCAAAGTAGTAGATTGACTGGCATGTGAAACATATTATTTTTTCTCGAAATGTTCGTTTGTAATTTGTTTATTGAAAACTGCATCATTTTGTGTTCTTCACTCAATGTCAGTGTCAATTTTGATAATCAATTTCATTCAAATTATTGGAACGTCACTGGCGCACTCAGGAATTTCTCTTGGGGGGGCTCATAGAAGCCAATGAAAATAGTAAAATATATGAATTAGGGTTCAATTCTGGAAAAATTAAAAACAATGATAAACAAAATGATACATATGACATATGTAATTCCTATAAAAAAATCATTCTGGAGGGACAAACATTTTGTGAAATATCAACAATTCTTAGAAATCCACTTTCCTTCTTTTAGAAGTCATATGATCTAATAATATATTTCCTCAGGAGACACCGGATGCCAGACCATTCAGCCGGTTTTGCGCAGTAGTACTCCTCAAGTAAGTTTTCAATGTTCTCAATGGTGAGAATGACCTTTCAGCCATACTGGTAGTTCTGGGAAGTGTTACAAAAAGTTTTAGTACAGTTATATTCGGATATAAAGTTTGATCACAAACTATATGTAGCTTTGCATGTCATTTAGTGGCCGGGTATCGATTTCTCCGAACTTATAATTCCATAATTACATTCCAAAAATATTTTTCTGACACTTTGTCTTGGGGAAGGGGGGGGGGGGGCTCGAGCCCCAAAGCCCACCTCCTGGGTACGCCAGTGTGGAACGTTGCATATCAACAAAGTACACCTTTGCTGGTTGTTAAGTGTCATAGAAAAGCCACTTTCTATACCGTTTGGAGACAAATGTTATTTTTCATCGAGAAAAAAAAAGATTCGGAAGTTGAATGCAAATAAGGCAAATAGTTAAGTAATCCCAATGGCCCTTTAATAACATTTTTGGAATTAATTGCGTTTCATTTTATTTCTTCTGATCTTTGACAAATTACGACAAATTTCCTCAACGGAATTGCAGACAATTTTTTCAAGAAATAATAATTGTTTTAGCCATCAGCAATCTATACCCCCTACCTGGAATGTTTATTAAGCCGTACTTTTGACATAATCATCCTTCATCTCGGAAACCAAATGTTACTCATAGTAAATACACAATTTTCGGAACAATCGTTCAAAAAAAGTTTATAGTTGCAGCAAAGACAATTAAGTTATGAAAGTATATATTATTGGTACCTACAGAGACTAATAGAATATTCAATGTGATTGATGAAATCGAAGATATTCAAAAAGCCCAAACGAATTGTAAAGTTTAAAACAAGATAATAAAGTGATTTCTGTTACTGGGGTGACGCAAGGTGAATCAGGAATATCTGAAAAATCACTAGCATACATAAAAATCGGCGAGACAGAAACACCCTTTTCTTTTCAAGAGATCAATAATTTTGCAGTGAGTTTGATCATGCCACTTTATCTGCCTGATGTGAATAGCGAAAATACTCTCTACAAAGTCACTAAATATATTGGATTCAATATCACTGATCATTAAACGAAATGAATGCATTCTAGCTAAAAAAAACTATACGTCCACGACTCCTGCAAATAAATCTTCAAGAAATTACGGATTCATCAAGGTAGCATTTGCAGATGTGAAAGGATTTATTAGTTTTTTTTTGGTAGAATATGCCGTTTTCGTTGAGCCACCCCGTAAGCAAATATTATTTTGCTGTTACATTACAGCTGATCATAATTTGGTACAATAATTATTTCACTACTTTTCCAAGGAAACACTCTATTAATCTGGGGCCATTAATACTGTTACCATGGAAACAAAATTGATCAAACCCCATGAACCATTTAAAATTCACCTGCATCTGATATTTCCGATTGACAAACCCTTTTGCTGTTTGTCAACCTCTTGCCAGTGAAATTAACTTTTACAAATTTTTACAAAATGCCGCCACAGTTGTCGGATATATTAAAAAAACTCGGGTGGGACGATGGGTTCCAAATACCCATTGCCAACGATGAGAATAAAGCTCTGGAAGAAGAGCTTGCCAAGTTGAGCCTTAGGAAAACGAAGGGTAAAACTACTTTGGAGATAGTTTCAGGGAGATACGAAGCATTGAGAGACCACTTTAAGTATGTCACACAGGAAAATGAACAAACGCAGGTAAGTAAATCAAAACAGAAATCAACGTGAATTTATATGATTTTTTCGAATGTAGTGGATGCCGGTCTGTGGGTCGAGGTAGAGTCATTGGATGGTATTAGTTAGATAAGAGTTTGGACACAACTGAACTTCTGTCCTTTTCTATTTTCTATATTACAATGGTTAGAGTGAATGGAAGAATAAGACATATATTCTGCTCTTTATCTTTTCAATTTTCCTAGTAGCGCCTGATTGTCAGATACTATTTTAGATGTTAAATTTTCTGTCATTGATATAGCCGTAGATGGAAAATGGAAATAAGTTATAAACGCCCACTTCAATTCATATTGATACACTTTTCGCAGAACAACAGTTATGAAAATGAATAGAATGCTTTAATATGACAAGATAGACACATTATACTTATAGCTAGTTCATTATTATTTTATGTAAAATGGACGGTACAGCAAATTGAAATCATTGAGCATTGAAAAAGGGCCTGAAATATAGTTTCATTCTAATTTGCTGTTATGAGAAATGAATTTTTAATGTACGTGCTTGTCTTCAAATTAATTTTCCATCCAGACCATTTCAGACAATCCATCCATAAGACATAGATAAGTTATGTGGGTAACTTATCTCTGCATAAGAGAATGGTTGATATTTCCTTTGGAGTGTTAAATAATTGAAATCCGTTCTCTTCAGAATAATTCCCACAATTTCTTACACAGCAGGACATTTTCATTTATATTTTTTTCTCAATAGTTTAGTTGGAGAAATTATATTTCAATTTTGACGTTCATAAAATCTATTGTCAAATTACAATTAATTTTGAATGAAAAATCGCGTAACGACTATAGTGCTCTTGTCAGAATGCAAGTGTCTGTCTTAATAAATCTAAATATCCAAAAACACTAACAGTTGTCATTTCTGTGCATTGGCATAAATACTATCTAGACTGCTAGTGGCAGAAAATCTCGAGTACATATTACTCGCCTGAAAACGTTTCTGCTCAATGCACAGGAACCCTCAAACTGCCGTTCATGACAGCGACTCATGTTTCTTGGTGTTCAGAAACATATGAGCAAGAGTGAATAAGATGTATGACAGGTCCTACTAAATGAGGAGGATTCAACTTTACCAGTTCAATATCGTGAGTGGCTTACCGTCTTTCTTATGGAATTAGCGGTCTAGGTTGTAGTGTATGTCGGTGTTTCTGTGTCCGAACTCAAATCTATGAGGAAAATAAAAACGGGGCCATAGCGCATGTCACTGTTCGAAGTCTATGATAAAAGAATTTCAGCGTTTATTCCACTCATTTCAAAATACATGTTGTCGATTAGTTGGATATCTGTGTTGATAGTCGGAAACATTATGTTTTAGTTTTTGTATTCCGGCTGTTGGTTGGATACTGGATACCGACATGCTATCAAGCTGTGTTTTAAAATCGTAATAGGCATTCACTATCAATTTGAATCGAAGAATTCTGAACCAATTTGGTATGATCGACATTTCGAAGAAACACTTTTAATGATATCATCCCAAAGTCATGAGAACCGTTAACTTTCTAACCATAACATAATTTCTTACGATCATATGACGCCAATTTGGGGAAATCTAAATTCTTCGATGTATCGTTAGTTGCATAAGGATTTGCATAACGCAACGACTGCAAATGATAATAGGACGTAAAAATATTGTTTAATTCATGAAATAACAACAAAAATGGTATGATGATTATTCAAATTTCACGGCCAGATTGAAAGTAAAAAGGATGGATTCTTATAAAGGTTAGACATTATAGATTTTTCACGTAATCATATTTCTTCCTCATGCCGCACAAATTTCGATTTCTGGGGAGTTGGTTCCCAACTTCGAAGTAGCGATATACAAATTTGCCAATATTTTGTATAGTACCGATGAAATATAGTATATTGTTCAAGGAGCACAGAATGATAGTCATTTCCTACGAGAATGAAGTTTGACGCATGAGTAGGCGAATGCTGCAAATCATACCGAGTGGAAAATTATCATTCCGTGCGAGTTATACACTATACTTTGTGAAATAATAACACAACGAAGTTATTGTGATATCAGATACGGAAATGAAATTGATGACATAGAGTTCGACCACGATAACTTTGGACAGCACGTGGTCGCGTAAGCATTGACTTTGCATATGCGTTGCGTCACGTGCTGTCCCTAAGTTATCGTGGTCGGACTCTACCAAAGTATCTCAATGATTTATCGAACACAGTAAAACAAGAGCAATTTTGCAAATATTACAGGGTGACGATTAAATCTAATGTGAAGTCTTGTAATTTCCTTGTTGATTTAAAAAATAATCCTAAACGCCACGTAACTATATACATATTCGTTTTCGAATTTTTAGAAACTCATCACGGCTCACAAACAACAACTCGAATGCATGGAAAACGAGTACCACGTGATTAAATCTGAAAAGGAAAATACCCAGCGATCTACCAAAGACGTGACCAATAGATTGAGAGATTCATCAGAAAGACAAAATTCGAAAAAATCCGATCTCCAAAAGGGTGTGATCAGAGCTGATCAATTGAAGGCCGAAATGGATTGGGACGCCGAGGCCCTGAAAGCATGGGAAGAATCACTGAAAAAGAGAGATGACGATATCGAATTATTGAAGAAATTTTCGAAAGAGGATGAGAGGAGATTCAACGAATTGGAGGCTAAGAGACAGCTGTTGCAAGCGGAACTAGCAGCGAAGAGAGGAAAAATCGCCAAAATTTCGGCAAATGTTAGCAATTATGAACTTGTCGTAGAGAGATCAGGTATAAAACATGAATTTCCAACACCTTTTCACACTATTCTCACTATCAAGATGCGGACATATTTGAAACAGCATTCTGTAACATCTATGAGCGATGTAAACCAATAGTGTCAGTTCAGTTCCATCATATTTTTAGGATAAGCTATTCTGTAGCATAACACATCTGCTATAAAATGTGCCACAAATTCGCTGTAACTCTTTGACCAGGAAAATCTGGACGTGCAGTCAAATTATAGCATCGGATTATAGGGGAAACCATTTCTCCATTATAAATAATCGAAAATTCAAATACGCAGCCTAACAGTAACTATTCTGGATGTTACTGGTTCAACTTATTGACATAATTTTATTCTATACTAGCCAAACCGTCACTATAGGTTGTATCCCAACAATACGAATATCTAATCCAAATTGCTCGTCTGAAAACATGACTGCGGAAGACGCAGCAGGATCCAAACCGTCATTCATGACATCAATCAATTTAGGTCACTTGGTGTTCGGAAATATCAGTAAGAGTAAGATGTATGGAAAGTCTTAAATGTGCATGGGATCCAGTTCACGTGAATTGATGACCCTTTGTCTCATGCTCATGGCATTAGAGGTTTAGATTCCACTGATTTTGATGTTTTATAAGAGATTCATTTGAATTACAATGAGTTACTGCAATATGGAATATATTGGACAAATACATTTGAATATATAATCCCGATTCAAAGAACATACTGGCCATGTCCGATATTTTCGAGACTATTCAGTCAATCTAGATAACTTATATGAAAATTCAAACAAAATACAAAACTATTTTGTCAAGTACAAATTATGAAATATACAATTTTTACCCACTCATACTTTGTCGACTACTTGAAATGCTTGTCAGATGAATGGATATATCCCAACTAATTTTACAGATTTGGTTTCGGTATTTATCTGGCATACTACACGTATATTGGAATAATATTCATATTTTGATATTATATTTTTATTAACCTACAGAAGGTATTTGGCATACTTTTGTTTTTAGGAAAAGTGATGAAACAGTTGATGGCCGAAAGAGACGCCCTCATATCTCAATGGAAGGATACAGTGAAAATGCTACAGCAAAGAGACAAGGATATCATGAACGCCCAGGACCAGATAGCCAATGTGCACGAAATGATTCAGCAACAGGCGGAAAAACTAGAAGACGAAAACACCTTTTTGAAAAATGAACAGCGAAATAATCGGGAATTGGAGATGGAGACTCAAAGCCTAAACGCATTGAATTCGAGAATGAGAACAGAATTTGGTGAATTGACTCAACATATGTTATTGCTTAGTAGCGAGGTAACAATACACTGGCAATCATTTAAATCATTTAAATCAGTTGATTTCTGGTAGTGCAAAATACCTGTTGGATTTCTGATATTGCAGAAATAGTATATTACACACCGAGGTGGGAAGAGATTCATTCCTGTCGTGAGATTAATTAGTTAAGCGAGATGCAAAGCGTCGATGTTGACTATGATCTCGAGACAGGAATGAAACTTTACCGAGGTTTGTAAACTATTTTATTTACAACCATCGAATTTGGACCAAAATTAATAAATCTTTGGTTCGTTCTAAACATAAGTGAGGGCGGGAAGTAGAGATGTGCAATGTTACACTTCCCAACCTTCATTGACGTTAGTAATGACAACATTACATAAATGGTTGTGAATAAATGCATATTTTTCCACTATTTCTTGTATAACACTACCAAGGATATTATAATGAATTCAGAATGCAATACAACCTCTATTCCTCAATGAATATTTAGGGCAGACAAAAACAAAAATTTTTAACTCATTTCTAACTGCAGCATACCACATCTGACATTTCACTCACTCTGACCACAGTATATTATACTTAAGGATAATATACTGTGCTGTGAAGTCTTCTGTCTGCTCCAATTATATTTTGTCAAACAGTGAAACTTAGCTTTGTCGTCTATGGTTACATCGTTGTAAACACCAACTCTGACAGACCAATCAGGATCGAAAGACAGCTAGTGTATTACCGATAATACAAGTTGCAATATTGCAAAAATATAATATTCACCTTGAGAAAAAGCTCCAGCTATAATCGTGAGCAGAAATCTAATATTTTTTCCGTGTATAATACACTATTTTTTTCGGTGACAGAAGATATTACATTATATCAAAATTAGAAAATTATCGACGTGACCTCCGTTGCAGGCATCTTCATCATTCTTTTGAAGTCATCAAATATTTGTCAGTCTAATTTTGTGTTTTGATTCTGAAAAATTGAGAACTTAGTGACGTGACTGTTTAGTAATTTACGTAACCGCGGAGTGAAATGGAAAAGATAATAGGACTTTCATTCATATTGGCTTATTTTTCGAAACTGTTACAACAGTGCACCTATATATCCGGGAAAAAAGTGCATACTTTCTCCCGTGGGAAAAAAGTAATTTATGAAAAGTGACCCTACCTATCAACAGAGATAAAATGTGTAACTTTTTTCCCGTCACAGAAAAAATGATATTACCACGCGACCTCATGTCTTGGTCCCTAGGTAATATTGATATTCTTCAGTATCATGGTGTATAATTAATAAAAATTTGGAATCAACAAATGGTTCTATATTAGGTTAAAAATGTGGACTATTTACGAAATTGTTCTTGTCCGACCCATTGACTAATGCTATCAGAAAATCTTTCTTCGAAAATGCGCTTTTTGAATTATATCATCATATGCATGTTTCGTTATCACGGGTTTATTCTTTCAAGAGCACTAATTCATAAAAATACTCCCCTTTTGAAACTCGATGATACTCCATGAATCTCAAGAAAACATTTTTCAAACAATGAAGATTGTTCAAAGAATGTTATTGTTACTTGAAAATTTTACAAAATATTATTTTTCGACAAAAATCTACTTCATCTCCCTCCAATTTCGAAAACAAACTATATACCTAACTCGACCACTTCATTTTCAGAGAGGTATTAAGAGTACAGACTCATTCTTTGACTAATACCCTTTCATACCAAAAGTACTTATGATTAATGAAATGCCAGTTTGACTTCATAAAACATTCAATGAATATACATAATGAGTAGTTTTTTCAAGGAGAAATGATGGCAAAGGAATAGTCTTATGATCCCGCGAGAAACTATAATTACTGAATGTGGACAAAAATTGGTGAATACTCCTTGAGTCCTTGAAAATATTGTACCTGACTGGGAAGATATTCATAGCAAAGAAATTCCAAAGTGAATAAGTCCTACCGAAGGAATACTTATGTAATACTTGAGCCACTCAAGTCCAACATTCATGGGTCATTCTCCAAAACTGGACCTACTAGATTAATCTTAAATATTTGAACACCATGTTTTTTTGTGGTTTCAGTTACATACTATGAAACGAAATGTAGCTGCCACAGCACATCATCTTGAAAACGAAAGGATTAAAGCCAAGCGTCTAGATCAAATGTACTTAGACAAAGAATCGCTATCAGCTAAATATCACGAAGACATTGATAAACTACAGCAGAAAATGAACGAAATGAAAGAATCTACAATGTCATCGGAGGAAAGAATACGAAGAATTGAGAAACTCATTGAAAAAGAAGAAAAACTGCATGACATTTTCCTGGGGGATACTGAAAAACTAAACGGTGTTATGTACCGAAGCGAACAGGTCTTGAAGGATCTAAAATCTGTTGGAAAATTACTTGAAATTGACATCAACAATGTTAATTGCAATTGTGTTCAGCTGAGGAAGCATATTCAGGCAAAGAAAAAAGAAGTAGAGAAAATCAAAGAAGTTGTGTATGATATGGTGAATGCATGATTACTCTAAGATTATCTGGATTGTTAACAATATGCACTTTTTTTCAGGAATTCAGAATAGATGAAAAAGAAAAAAAGCTTTACAAGATATTGGACGATTCTAAACTGGATGAAATGGCGAACCATAAAGATAAAATAATACAAGATCTAGACAAAACCTTATCAAATCACAGAGATGTATCACTATTTTTCAACTTTGAAAGCAAAATTTACATTATTTTTCTTAGGTTCAACATGTTCTTCAAAATCAAGTAGACCGTCTACAGGAGGAGATGAGGAGACTTTCTAACCTCATAGCTTTCGATAAAGAGATTTCTGAGAGTCTTAGGAACAAATGTGAAAATCATCTCCTGGTTTATGAGATAGGACAAAAACAAATGGCAGCTGCCAAAAAATCTACTCAAGAAAAACAGGTCGAAGAGAATATGATGAGGTTAAGAATCAGTAGAATAGAAATTGACAAGAAAAAAGAAGAGAAACAAATTTTTACTTTAGAAAAACTAAGACTGAATCTGGATCAGGTAAGTACATACAAATCATGGAAGTAAGTGTTTTTGTTCACCTTCTTTTAGGTGATGAAAGAGAGACAACTTGAGATAGACACCCAAAAAACAATAACTCAAACAAAAAAACGAAACCTAGAAGAGGATAGAGGCAGGCTCAAATCGGATATTGCTTTGAGACGCCTGAAAATCGAACAAATCCAAAAAAAATACCATATAGCTCTCGTTGGATTAGGAAAAGATGAAGACGGACAAACGCTTTCAGTAACTCATTTCAAAATAAAAAATGCCCAGGAAAAGTTTATTTTGCAACAACAAGGGGACGAGCTTGATCAGAAGATCAAAACTGCGGAAAAGGAAATTGTCGCTATGGAGAATACATTGAAATTGATGAACGTGACTAACACTTCATTCAAGAATAGTTTGGCCCCAGTTAATGATGATGGTAGGGTTTGTATAAAAAATAGTTTTGAATTGAATTATATTTTTTGAACTTCCAGATGAGGAAGTGAAAGAAATGGAGGTTCTGAATGAAAAATATAAGGAACTTGCAGATGTGCTGAAGAGTCACAAAAATGAGTATGCTACTGCAGAAAAAAATCTAGAAGGTATGTGTCTCAATATGATTATTATTCAATTGTTTCAACAATGTCATATGATAATGGAGATTTGAAAATTTTTCTGTAATTGATAGAACTGACGGAGAAACTAAACGAAATCGAACAAATAAGATTGAAACATCTCGATGTTGTCACAAATTTAGAAGACGAGATTATTTCGGTAAGAAAACAGGAACAGGAAAAAGCCGAGAAACTAACGAGGGTTGAGGGACAATTAAAAAAATTGCTGAAGAAAATTGGGAAGAGAGACATTTCAAGATATAATGTAAGCGAAAATTCGAAATAAAAATGGAGTAGAATTAGATTATAAAGTCTCCAAATAGCTTCTTAACGTTCTGTGGCAAAGGTGAGTGGTTAAACTTAGTTTAATCATGGTTTGAAATGTGTGGTCCCTTCTTAATACAATGGTTTTTTATTCACGTCGATAACTACTTTTCAAGGAAAGATACAAGTGTTTTAAGAGTCTGGATTTTTTAAATTTTTACTAATAGTTCAAAACCATTCTCCAACCTTTTGCTTCATCATGTTCTGAAATGAAGTGTGATCTTTTTTCATCAAAACGGTTCTAGATTAACGTGAATATCTTCTCTTTGAGAGAAGATACAGGTGTTTTAAGAAAGTATGGAATTCTTAAATTTTCATTTACAATAATTCAGAATATATAGAACACCTTTGGGATTAACTTCAGAGGCTTATTCGCCTTCGTCCGGCCCTGTAAGAGACTCTTCAAGAGCTGCGATTGGCCTTTTCAGGAGAATTTATGCAATTCATCAAGGCACCTTGAGGAGAAATTTGATCAATTCGATGCCTCGGCGGTTGAATCCTGTAATTCAAATTCGAGGAAGGCATCGAGTATGCCTGATATTGACTACAGGTCTGCTTCTTGTTTTCTTTTTTGTAATCAAGGTGTTTTCCGGCAACTGCTTAAAAAATTAGGTAAAAATAAGTGACATTGATTGTTTGAGTTGTTAATCAATAAGTTCATGTATGTTCTGATTATTGTTGATGGTAATTGAAAAATGCCATACTTTCTCAGAACACCCGTATATTCTTCAAAAAATGAGATATTGACGTGAATAAAAAACAAAGAAGGAATCACACATCAATCCAAAGCATACTGGATCCAAGTTCAACCACTAGATTTTGCTACAGAGCGTTAAGTAAAGGGTGAAAAATTAACTTTCTTTTATCCTTGTATAATGATCAAGTCATCAGCTTTTCAAGAAAACTAATATTAAGACTAACATTCCGGAACATGAATCTACTATTTGATCGAAATTTCACAAAAATCGGACGAGGTTTAAAAAAGTTAAAGGGTGAACAATTTGGGCAAATTATTTGGTGGCCGTTTTTTTGCTGGTTAGTGTATAATGATTTTTTCCAAATTGGGTATTTATTTTGACAGTTTTCAAATGATCACTTCGTCTGATCTGATGCTTATGGGTGTCAGAATACACATTGATCTTGTTCCATTTGGTTCTTTATCTCTTGAATATTTTTTTCGTAATAAATAAGAGTTGTGCCATCCCATCCGCAAATGATTTTGAATTTCCTTGCAAATTCAAACTTGAGGTAGAATTCATATAAATGAGAAATAAAATAGGTCCGAGAATTGATCCCTGTGGCACACAGAGAGATATGTTTCTTATTGAAGAAAAAAAATCGGTCTTCCATATATACGACCTGCTTTCAACCAATAAGATAATTTTCAAACCAAGAGTAAACTCTACCTCAAATTTCAAAATTGACTGTATCAAATGCTTTTCGTAAATCCAATGATAAGAGTCTACACATCTGTAGTGTTAATCTAATTTCAGCTGAATATCAGTAATAACATCCAGTCACAGAATACCCAACAATTGTTGGGTCTTCTAGGATCCAGGACCATCAGAAAAAAATTCAATTTTTGTTAAATAATCAGATAATCTTTTATGCATCACTTCTTCAATAATTTTGGATAATGTTGGTACCAAAGAAATGGGTCTATAATTGTTCATTGAGTGATTGCTTCCATTTTTGTAAATAGGTAAAACTTTTGCAATTTTACATTTCTCTGGGATGACACGGACGTTTTTTATAAAAGGTGGAAGGTTAATTTTCGGTACCTTTTTTGATAGAAACGTGTCACAGAATTGACTGTCAAATTTTGATGTCCGACAAAATTTTCAGCGTTTCGAATTTCATCATTACACTTTGCAAGCAGACAAACGATCCACGAACGTTACTCAAATATGAAGCAGAATTTTCATAGACAAGGAAGACATCTTACGTTCAGAGCCACCTAGCGGCAAAAATTCAGAGGTGTTGTTTAAACAAATCATACATTGCGAATATTAGTCGAACGCAAATTATTTTCGCCTGAAGAGTAGAAAAATAATATTATGCAGAGTTGTTACATTTCGTTTCTCTGCAGTGCAAACGTCAAACATAGGTGGCGTTTGACGGATTCGTAAGGTATGGTTTGGTTATATAACCTACTGTTACCTTTGCACTTTTGGCCCTAGGGGGCTCTGGAGGCTGTATATTCCTCATCTCCATGGAAAAATTATGTTTTTTTAGCGAGATTTCGAAATCAGACAGCTGCAGGAGGTGAATCGAAATGTCTTACAGTGTTTAACTCAATTGACTTCATCCCATTCGGAAATAACACCTCTATTCAACCGATACATAATGGAATACAATATAGAGTTACCAGAAAAGAGACTTACCCCGAGCAGCAATTCTTCCGACGTCATGACTTCAACTCGTTCTTCCAGCCGGAATCAAAATTCCGAAAGATCCGACGGCAGTGCAAAGGAAGCTATATCTGTCAGCACTCTCAATTTGTCCTTGGACTTTTAGTATATTGTTTTATATTCTTCTTTACAAAATAGATTTAAATTTATATTTTGTTGATTCATAAATTCCTTTACAAATTAAGTGATCTTTTTGTAATACCAACACAGGTACCATGATACAATATTAAAAAAAACAATTACCATAGACATATTTTATTAAAATTCTCAGTCCATCCCTGGAGGTAAAGGTTCCTCTTGTGGATGAGGAACTATAGCAATAGGTGGATCCTCCATAACCTGAAAGGATAATTCGTATGAAAATAGGGATGTTTTCTATATTGAGAAGTTTATGGAAACCTATAATATACGAATTATTTATTTTCTCAATAGGCTGAGGATTTATTTCAGAAAAATAAAGTGAAAGGAATGGTTTCTGCTCCTTCGCCATTCTGTTGACGTCATTGGTGAACTGCCATGTTTCCACAGAGGTAATACGCGATTTTGCTAGCGCGACTGCGACGCTGCCGTAGCCATTTATATGTTAAGGTATTAAGAGAGTCTGTATATGTGTTAATGAAATGAAGAACTTTTGTGTTTCCTGTAGAATTTTATTATTGAATCGCAGAGCGCTTTGGGCTAATGATCCATCATCAGTGCAACATTCGTCTAAAAGGTCCAAAATTTAATCATCATTACATCATTATGGCACAAACAAACAGATAAGTACCCCAAAGGGTTATTGTAAAATTTTCAAAAATACATATAACATTTTTTCGTAATCCCATACTGTTATTTTGATTTAACGGTATTCAGATGACAATTGAAAAGTTAATGTTAACAGCCTACGTCCGTTAAGATTGTTCAACGGCCGGCGGCAGTTAACTGTCCATAACGACACGATGTTGGGATTTTTAGGCGAGTGGACAATTTTTTTTATTCGCAGTGAATTTTTTTTTGAAAATTACCGTGAAAATATTGATGATTTTAGCACCTTAAAATCGACCGAAAAAAAACAAAAAAACAAAATGATATACTGGTACATTGTACCAGTATATCACCTGACGAAGCTACTGTGTTAGCGAAACATGTTGTGTGTTTAAGAATTTTGTGGAAATCTTATCGTTTGTGAAGGAAATGCCATTGTCTTAGTTTGAATATACCAAACTAATTTATAGATGCGTGCACAAACAACTGTAAAAAAACATAACAAAAAAAGATCTACACCTGATACTGTTTTCTTCGAATTTTGTTATTTTGGTGATACTATGTTGTCAAAATATCAAGTGTTCATCGAACTTAGAATTGATTGCACTTCACAGATCAAGAAAAAAATGTATAGGGTGTAACTTGAATAATTGAAGTTGGGGCTTTTCAGGGGTAGTTTGACAGAAGTGTATTTTTTTTCCAAGCAGCATAACTGAGATATTGGTTGTATGATAAAAGAGGGACACCCGGTATAGACCATGTGTAACAGGGTCATGATACACCAAACCATTTTGATGAACTTAATTTGGTGATAAATGAAGAAATTTGACATTTTTGACAGGATAACTTTTTTTAGCATGTTGATATGAGAACATGAGACTGGATAGAGGGATCATGGCACACTAAGATGGAAAATCAAAAATGAAATTAAAATCAATATTGAAGTTAGAGAGTTTACTTATGTGGTATCATGGGATTCATAAAATGTAGCCGAATTCAAAAATGCAAATATATACAGGGTGTTCCATTTGAAAATCAAGAGTTATTTCCACTTCCGGTGAAACCGAAAATATGAAAATAAACATGTTTATCGAGTTGATGGGTCATTGCAAATTGCAATAAGTCATCTCTCAAACTAAAGGAGAAAACCGGGATGTACCATGTTCCTATTACACCCGGTATATAAATTAATTTGATGAAAACCAGTCCACAGCACAAATTTCCCCATTTCAAAACGAACACTCACCCCAACCTCGCCTCGCACCTCGGCCATCCCCATGCCCGCCCCCACAACCGACGGGGGCGGCACCATCGGCACCACCACCGGCGGCACCATCGCGGGCGGCGGCACGACGTACGGGCCCAGTACCACCTCCTGCACGGCGGCCGGGATGTGGGCGCGCTGCGCCTCGGTGAACGCGAGCAGATGATCTTTGAGCGGCGCGCGCAGCTCCGGGCAGACGGTCAGGGCCTCGACGATCTGCGGGGGCGGCAGCTGCATCAGCACGGCGAAGCTCTGCGGCTTGGTGCGCTGGCAGCACTTGACGAAGCCCTCCCACACCACTTTTTGTTTCCACACCTCGAATAAGAACCGTATTTGTGAGTTATTACTTGAATTATGACTGAAATCATATCGTCGTGGGCGGTTTACTATTTAATTGAAAGTACACAGAGAGTGTCCAGTATACGATGGATCATACTGTAGCTGGTGATAAACAAGTTCATAGCCAATCAGAGAACCACAACTCAGACTTCAGTGATAACCTCACGGTTTCCGAGAAAATTTGTCGTGAGCTCCGGAACAACTCCGGGTAGACGGTCAGGGCCTCGATGATCTACGGGGGCGACAGCTGCATCAGCACGGCGAAGCTCTGCGGCTTGGTGCGCTGGCAGCACTTGACGAAGCCCTCCCACACCACTTTTTGTTTCCACACCTCGAATGAGAACCGTATTTGTGAGTTATTACCTAAATTATGACTGAAATTCTATCGTCGTGGGCTGTTCACTATTTAATTGAAAGTACCGATTATGCTAAATGAGTTGAAAATACATAGAGAGTGCCCGGTATACGATGGATCATACTGTAGCTGGTGATAAACAAGTTCATAGCCAATCAGACTTCAGTAATAACCTCACGGTTTTCGAGAAAATTCGTCGTGAACTCCGGACCATCTCCGGGCAGACGGTCAGAGCACTACAAAGCTCTGCGGTTTGGTCAAGGCCATCTTAAAGTATGCTGGTGCCCTTGGACACACAAGAATTCAGGGCCGTTTGGAAAGTAGAGATAGCGAATTAAACTAACATTTCTCTATTATTGTTACATTTCGACTGATAAATCTAACATCAGAAGTGCGAAAAAGTTCCCACTGCCTTGTTGAAGTGACAAAAGGCAATTTTGGTCATATTCCTTTGTTGAGACGTTAACCCGGCGTTTTCACTGCAAAACAGATAGCCAAGCAGGTTATGGTATTCATTTGGTGTAGTGCATCAACGGCGTTACGGTGTTTATATTGAACTGTAAGTACAAGGAGGGGCCAGTAAAACACAGCTTCGTCTTTGAACCTGAAAACTAGTAATTTTTCACTGTTTGTCACAAAGCCGGCACAGATGATTGTATAATATTACTGTTTCGATTAAATATCGGATATTGGTGATCGAATATACTGGACGTTTATTGTTCCAGATGTCGATTATGTTGGCAATTGCACGATACTTATTTCGGAATTTCGTTCAACGAATCTGCAATCTCACGTTGTTGTGGATTCACAAAAAGAGGATATTTACTTCAATTCAGTCCCAACTTTTTGTTGATTATTTGTCGCGTAGATCGCAAAAAACAGTGGCTTAGCAGGTGCAGAAGAATAGCCGAGCGGTATTCATTCTGCCTTGAACGGTTCAACAATCATTGTCAGTTTCACCCAACTATTCGAATTTTGACAATAATCTGAAGATTATTGTTCGCAGTGTATTTTGATATTTGCTCCGTGCAATATCAACGCCGGTTTCGCGTATACTCATACTGTGGACTATTTATTGTTGTTGATGTTCTTTTGCGAATTCCCTGTGTCCCGCATGCAATCAGCTGCCGGCTGATACCCAAAGAACAGAAAACAACTACACCCGAGACCAGAAGACACAAGAAGATCATCGTACACCCAGAAAAGTTCCTGTGGGTAGTTCACTGCTTTTGCTCGCCACTGATTCTTACCTCCTGATTAGAAAATAAAGTACAATCGCGCCTACGGAAATCATTCTATTATTCTCACCACTAATTATCGAATCAATCCATTTTTGGGAACGCGACAAACGTATTTATCATTTGATTGTTTCCCAATTTACATCAGTGTTTTCATACATCTAGAGTGTGATTAGTTATATCAGCACATAACACATATGGCATTAATGATATTACAAGAATTTCCACAGTGCTCGACAAAAATATAAATGTGAGAAATTGTTGGTCCCTCGGGTCCCCCTGAGGATGGGAGACCCTGGACACGAGCCCCGTGTGCCCTTATGGTGAAAACGGTATTGGGATTGGTGCAGTGGCAGCACTTGACGAAACCCTGCCACACCACTTTTTGTTTCCACACCTCTATAGTCGTGGGCGGTTTACTATTTACTTGAGAGTACTGATTATGTCAAATGGGTTGAAAATATACAGGGTGTCCGGTCAATTATGGATCATGATCATACACTAGCTGGTGACAAACAAGTTCATAACCGACCAGAAAACCACAACTCGACCTCAGTAAAAACCTTACGGTTTTCGAGAAATTGGAACTTAATAAAAATTGAGCTCCTATCTCAGATCATTCTTTTATGTTCCTAGCAAATAGAGAGCGTTCCATGTTAATTCTTATTTTTGACAAATACTACTGAATAGTAGATGTAACAAACGCAGAAAGCGAGCATTAACAAAGCCACAGAATATCTCATACTTTCAGAAGAGTGTGATACTACTGTTGAAAAGCGTGCTTCTCATTTGTTTTTCGAAGGTTTGCCAACTAATTGAAATATTTTCGAGGCCTACTATTGTTTGCTGTAGGAATAAATATTTCAAAAACATTTCAAGTAATTTGCTACTATTGAAACTGATGAAGAATGCCTATGCAAGCTTCTATTTTGGGTTATATATGTCGAAAACTGTTCATTTCAGCTCAGATGAAGAATAGCTTTTTTTCAACAGAATTAAACAGGGAATTTGAAGAATCGAAAAAAATTCAAATTTAATCAGTGGTATAAAAAATATGGGAGATATGATGGAGGAAATGACCGAAGTTACTGTAGCGTCAAAAAATGAGTATTTTGAAGAGGATATCAAATACCAAACACGATTAGGAAAAAATCAGCCGTAAAATGATAATTATTTTTCAACTTCAACACTCTGAACCTCCAAAATTTACATTTGAGGACCATATATTATGTTCCTACGATTTCAACATCAATTAAGGAATACTATTACCTGTGAAACGTCGATCGATCGCAAAAACCTGTATATGTATATGCTATTTTGGAAGATGAAGCAATTTTAAATTGATAGTTGGAACTCACCTTTTTCAAAATCAATCTCTGCAAAATATTCATAACAAATCCTGATAATCTGGGATAACTACCCAAAGCCTGGATAACAGTTCTCATCAGTAAAGTGGGCAATGGAACTTGATCCATCAGTTGTTGCAAAACAACAGCCAAAACTTCCTGTGTATAAACCTGAAATTCAGAACAAAAAACAGTTAATCATCCTTCTATTGAAACATTTCTTTGGCCAATTTGGTACCTGTTTTTCCTGTAAACACATTGAAGTCGCCTTGATGACAGTTTTCAAATCGGCCCTTGTCGAATCAATTAGATGCAAGGATACCAATAATTCAATGGGGCTGATGGGACTATCCCCATGTAACCCTAGGAGCCTGTTGAATACTTCTTTTACAACCACAGGATTCAGTTTGATAAGCTTGGGTAATGCTGCTATAATCTGAAATGAACAACTGAACGATAAATGATATGGGTAATGAATGATCTGAAAAAATGTACTCAATGATTTTGAGTGACATTCATAATGAGATGCCTAATCTTCGGAAAGAATGCTACCTCTTTAAACTTTAGCCAGAGATGCAGAGATGTATGTATTCCAGATTCTTTGTCACATCTATGATATATTCTCATGGGATCAAAATTTTCAATCACTACAGTATTTCACAATATCTATCACAGAAGGAAACAGCACTAATTTACCTAATTACTTATTTATTCAATAAGAAATATAGCTTTGAACTGCTTCTACCATGGGGTTTTGGTGATAGAACCTTCCAAATCATGACATTTCCACGGATGAGATACTGTTCTGACAACGCAAGATTGTGAAAAAATGACATCAAAGATTTGTTCACAATTTTGGTTGTCATTGTTTCATAATATGTTGGGTTCCGTTTTGTCTCTGGAAAAACTTTTTTTGCTGTCATAATGATAAAATAACAGCAGCTCATTGAATTTTTTATACATGAATTATATTATTACACATTTAGTAAGGCCGGTCAGACAATAACAAATGCACAGCTATTTTATTTTTAAAATAATGTATCTGAAATCTGACAGATATAAAAATGGGTAATGCACTTTAAAAACCGGCTTTTATAATCATGATAAATTATTTTCTCATTAGTATAGTCTTATGTAGTCTTTACCTCCTGTTTGGAAAGACCATTCAGTACAGGAATGAGGAATCTCACATCTGAAATCCTGGTATTGTACAAATCTCGAACCCTGTTTACCAGATCAGGTGTTGGTGGACCCTTATCAGTCAAAATATGTATAACCCTCGTTACTAGAGTCTCTGAACCCTTAGGACAATCTTCAACTAATTTCAATACTTCAGGGGAGTCCATGCCCATACTTTTTATCGGACTTTCAATTAGTCTCAGGATGATTCGTTTGATATCTGCACTTGTCTGAACATATACCTGAAAAAAAACTGAATGTTTAAAAACCAGGAGAATTTCATGAATCACTGACACTATTAAACACATCAACTGATTTGTCGGTGTGCAAATTTTGAATATGGCGGCCAGATATTCAATTTGTTCAAAATGCCACTGTAATTATGCAAAAAAAAAAATTAGAACTGGTTAAAAATCCGTCGAAATTAAGAGATAATGAAATAAATGAGAGAAATAAAACGAACATTCTCATAAAAAAATAATCATATTCCTAATTGTCAATTTAAAAATACTCAGAAATATCACAAAGTACAGTTACATATTGGTACTCACTTATAAGATTTGAGTATATAAAAAACAGGAAAGAAGAGTAAAAATGAACAACAATACAAAACAAATAAAAAATTATATGTAAGAAACTAACTGTTACAACAAAGGTATTTAAAAACTTGAATTTGATTTGAACCAGATAAAGTATTGTCCTTTTTTGGTTTATACATATCATAAGTACCTATATATAATTTTTTACCTACTTTGTAAATTTTATTTATGTATATACAGGATGGCATTGAAATAACTGCAAATATTTCAAACACTGAGAAAGCTCGACGTGTACTATCGAATGGCACTAATAAAAAAAACTAAGGGATCAAAATAAAATTTGAGGTTGAACCCATTTTTCCACCCAAAGTTCTAAACTGTAGCAAATCTGACGTCACCTCTGTTCAAATTTCCACGCGGTAGGCACAAGCACACGGAGTTCAATCAATTAAATTGTTTTAAAGTGGGGTACTTGATTTTCTTCTCGTATTTTGTTCAATTTTTTGGATGAAATTTCTTGTTAATTAGACGAATTAGAAGAAATCTGCTCTCATGCGAATTTTCCTTAGACTGTATCATATTCATGTGCTGAATATGTGCACTTATATCAAAAACACCTTTTATATACATAGCATGCTGCAATATCCTGCAATTTATAAGTGTATGTGATCATCTAAAGAATAATAATAATAATATAGATAATCATAATAATGAAGAAGTGTCAAAATATTTTCCAGTAGGCTATGAAATATTTCTGTAGATCTCTAGATCAATATGCAAATCAGGTGATCTACTGAAAATTCAGTGAAACTGGCAATTCTACAGCGGACGAAAAGTGTTTGTGGACGAAAATTTATTGACTGCAGACAAAAAATACTTGCCTTCGGAAATGGTCGGTTTTTCGTTCGGAAATTAGAACATAAAATGTGATTTTTTTGTAGAGGTCGACGAAAAAAGAGTTTTTCACCAAATAATAGGATGTATGTATAGCTCCCGTGGATACAGTTATCACTGATGTGAACTGTCAGATTATATTTCACCAATGGAATATGCACAATGAAATTTGGTTATTTAAGAAGTCACAGTTACCTTGGCCAAATCGTGGATCAGACTTTCGTTAGCCGGCATCAAAGATACGTAGGGCAACAAACACGCCTTTATGAAGTCATCGCCCCAAGTCTCGGTTTTCAGGCGACCCTGGTTTATACCGCACAGACTCTCTGGCGGTTTGGGCAACTTCAAGAACTCCATGTTCATTCTTGCGAATTCCTCTATTACTAGTCTCAAATCGAAACGTTTGTGGAGTTCCAGTACATGACCGATTGCATGATCGCGTACAGAGTTCGATTCATAAGTTGTGTACGAGAGGAGCGCGTTCAGGAATACTAGTTGTTTTGGTGGTTTTCTGATAGTGAGATCACGTAAGAGCCCCAGAGCCCATCCTGCAATAATGACGAAAATAAGCTATTTTCTGAAATCGCTAAGAATGCCTACTTTCTCGGAACAACTTCAGAGTTGCTATATGTAGAGTGTGTTCAATTTTCGATGCTTTTGAACGATAGGAACCAAAAATATTTCATTATTAAAGTTCATTATTCATTTTTTCATCCTATAACATTCGATTAAAGGAAACGAGTATGTTTCACTCACGTTGGCAGCTCTGTGATTGTTTCGAGATAAGTTTTCCGAGGAAAAGTATTTACCTGAACGTCTTTCATCCCTACAAACTGCTCTGACCTCTTCTAATGCATCATCAGTGATCATAGGAGCTTCCAGAAGAAGCCTTGATAGAATAAGAGCATCTGTGGCAGACACATTGATGAAGCTGCACAACAACATATTATAACTGTTGTCGAGTTTGCCGTCTCTTCTTAGAGGGGGTACTTTCGAAAAACCCTACACAAATAAATACTGAGATTATATAATAATAGTTCATGAAATAATTACGATGACTTATTACCTGCATTATACTGTACTCTTCAAATAGCCAAGCTAGAGCAATGTCTACGTAAGATCTGAGATCGTTTAATATAAATGTTAATATTGTATCTCGAACAGCGATATTGAAACACGTGGACAAAGTTGCGATGATTTTTTGGTGAAGTTGTTTGTTCGTTGATCTGTGAGGTGTTAGTAGCCTTTCAACTGCTTTGAGAAGGAGCCTCTGTTTAACATCTCTTTCTAGAGGTTTGGTGATTTCTGACAGTTTGAGCGTTTTGATTCGGAGGACTTTGACTTTTTCTTTCTTTGGTGGCTAAAACATTTAGAATTTGTATATAAATTGCAGATTAATTGGCACTGAACTACACTACACGAAAATATCAGGATTCAATTCCCAATCTTGTTTCAAAGATAAATAGTTACTATACAGGGTGTTCCTGATATATCACAGATACAAACAAAAAAATGTATTGGAGTCATTTTCTCATATCAATTCCAATTCAAAAGTTTTTTATAACTAGAGAATAATTATGAAATCGACACAAGTCCAGTTGAAAATTTCCCATTCAAAAATAGTATGATATTTGGTAGGGTGTGTGTGTGTGTGTATAATTATTTAAGGAATGAACTAAAACGCCTCAGACAGGATATTTTTATCTACAAAATCGTATAATTACATAACAGAATTCACTAAATAATGAATCAATTTAAATGGATATCTTCTATTCCATGAGCATCTGTGCCAATCACTATCTTGAGCCAAATGATTGAAAAATTGCACTTTCCTGTGCGGAAATTTGCACTCGATTTCGCAATTTGATAACGACATAAGAATTATGCCATCCTGCCGGTCCAGAATAATAGCAGCAAATGAATTTCTGTGCCGTGGATTTGGCTTAGACTGAGGGGTGGCACAAGTAATACCCCTTATTGATGTGTAATTTTTCAGGAAAAACATGGGTGGCGATGAAACTTTTCGAAATTTTATTCGAAAATAAGAAAGAAGGTGCAATTTTGTAGGAAAAGCACCAAGTGTTGAAACTCGTGAAGAAATACTTTTTACAAGTAAAACCAAATAACCAAATTCAAAATATCCTTTTTTCAACATCTACCTGTGATGGTCGACTCAAAATATGAGAGGAACAATAAAAATAATAATTTGAAAAATATTATGGTAGGTGCCCTATTAAAAAAGTACAATTTTTATTACACATCTGACTTTTAAAATCGAATTCATTTTTAGGTAAAATTGATGACATTTTCATATTTCCTATTCACACTGCCGAAAAGTGGATAGAAAAAAAAGTTGGGGAAGGGAATGCCTTTAGCCTCACATATTTCCCAAGCCCCTGATAAAAATGTCAAAATCGGACATGAAAAGAAATATACATCTACGAAATTCGTTATCGCAACAAAGAGGGTTTTGGGAATATTTACAACAAAAAAAAAAACATTATCTCGGGCCCTCTTTCAGATAGCTATAACTCCTCAGAGAGGCATTTCTGGGCTCATGTTAATAGGAACTTTTTTTACTATTTTTGTTCCTAGAATCTGTGGTTGAAATCTTTCTATGTAATTTTGGGACACCCTGTATGATGATTTTGGGATACGCAGGAATTCGCAAAAATCCGGGTACAACTAAGTACCCAGGACACCTTTTGCCCAACAGAATAATTCTGAATAGGTGTTTTTTTAACAGGTTGAGTGCCACCATGTATTGAAAAATATCGGTTCCAGAGGCCGATACATTATTTTTGCCTAAAACATCAAATACTAACGTACCATTGATATTTCATTTCATTTTTGATGTGCCGGAATTTTTGGAAGGTTGAAAATGGCGCTTTATTTTTGGAGACCACATTGGTCTCACACGGCCCCTCATTCGACCATTTTGTTCACGCGGCTGCGCGAGACCAACGCTATGCACATGTCTGCATGTTGAGAATCGTAGCGGGGGACCGGCAGACCGGCTCAGCTTGTCTCGTGATTTTGCAAAAGTCAAATTATGTCCTCGTACGAGAAAAAACAAAAGCAATTGACGAAGTTATGCCAGAAGGTGTTGTCCGATGAAGACGAAAACTGAAACAATCAAGATGGAGAATCACTGTTTGGGGACGTGTATCTTTCTGATGAATATCAATGTGAGTCATCAGTAGATTCTTCGTCATCGCATCGTTCAAGAATGCATCTTCCAAACAACCGAGAAAACGTCCCAAGATCAAAAAGAGAGACGGTGCTTGAAAAACTCAAACATTCAGACATGATATACCGTCGAATGGTGCATTTTCTAACAGTAGGTATATTGTTCAAATGTTCAACGAATGATGTTCATTTCATTTTCTGAATATTCTGTATGATTTTGTTACATGTTCATGTTGTATGTATGTAATGAATAAAAGCACTTATATATTTTCGTGAGAAAAAAAAAGAATTTTAACATTTCCTAGCCACGTACTACCAATTTGTTCTCTCATATCCACAGGCCAAAATATGTCTCTGGACCACCAGGCCGCGCTCTTTCGAACGCCATATAGTTCACAATGCTGCGAGAGACCGCTGTGGAGATATGCAGCCAAATCAGTTGTGGGTATATGCGAGACCATATTGGTCTCACGCAGCCACAAAGTCAGAAGTATGTGCGAGACCATGTTGGACTCTCACGGCACTCAACCTGTTAAATGTTTCATCAAATATTCTGGTTACCAGACTGAATTGCTAGGAATACTTGTCAAATTTTCGTAGGGTGCACCGTTTCGAAAAAAATTTAAAAAAATTGGATCTCTTCATTTTTTTTCATTTTGTTATTTGTTTTCTATCATTTTTCAAATATACGGCCTAGTAGTAGGGAAGCCCAAGCGGGGATTTCGGGATTTCCTCGAGCGCGGCAGATTAACATAAGGGGGGTATCCTTGGATCTTGTGAAGTATTCCCACCATACCTGGGCCCTTTATAGGTATGGTGTCGAAAGTTTGGGGCAGCCGATCAGATTAGTAAAATAAAATCGATCGACAGAAATACTCGAGCGCATCAGATTAGGATATGGTACGTTAATTACATGCAGAAAAGTGTGCATTTCAATAATCTGACGATTTGAGCGTGACATAACAAAATGGGAGAGCCACAAAGTTGCAAAAAAATATCGTCACCTTTACATTCTTGAGCGCGGTTATTTTTTTTTCTTCCTCTTCATAATACAGATTATGGGTACCACAAGGACATTATGATGAAGCATCTGTATATATAATAATCTGACGCACTTGAGTATTTCAAAGTCATGATTATTTTTTTCATTTACAAAAATTGATCATGACCTTTGGTAGCCTCCAGATCATCAGTCTTTTGAATAGGGGATACTTGAGGGTTCACTTAACATCCCTTCTCAATACCTGATGCTCTTGAATACATTTTTGTTACCTATTCTCTATCCCTTCATACATACATGCTCTCTCCACTAGTGAAAGGTCATAAACTTTTTTTCATTTTCACATCTAATGTTCACAATCTAATAGGTCTCCCAGGAGGCACCAGTAAATCCCTATTTAGCCTCTTTGCCTCCTCTACAATAGGGAATGATATAATCTTAGGTTATGAGTTAGTCATGGTTTAGTCTAACTCTAGCTTCAATTATTCTATGTTGGCAATTGTTTTATTAGAATATTCATTTTCATCTAATAATGAATTTAATGTGTAACTTTTTTTTCAGAAAGATTATGGATGCATATTTGACTTTTTTTGTTTACATTTATTATCCATGTAATTTATGGCAAAGTATATTGTATCTAATTAAAAAAAAAACAAATGGAACAAATCTGATTACTTCAATCAAATTTTTGATCACAAATTCATTTTGATTTCAGAACTCAAATGATTCTAAAGGTATTAGAAAAACAGAAACCAATCATTATAGTATGTGTAATTTCTGCTGAGACTTCAGCCTACATTGAGTTAATATTACTTACCTTCTCTCTCTCATCTTTTTCCTCAATCTCCCTACTCCTCTTTTTAGTAAGTTCAGGGCTCTTCTGCTTTTCCACAATTTTACTACCAGGACCCACCTTAGCTTCAGTAAATTGTTTAGCCATGATATTTGCCAAATGAATTTTACCTATATTTCCTGAGCTAACAAATTCTGCATAATCTGAGATGAAATCTGCTGGCACAGTATTGGGTAATTTGGGAATATTAGTAAAAATGAGGTAAACAGCCTTCTCCAAGCTCAGATTTTCTAAGATGAACTGTTCATTTGCTTCTTGTGGAGTTAACTGAGGATCTACAGTTTCCTCTATATCAAATGATGGTTGTTCCAACCTAGCTCTTTTTACACTTTGCTGCACCACTAAGGATTCAGATGATAATGCTCTTTTATTGTATTTCCTTCTTTCATCAGCTTTTGGAATCATTTTGTTAATTTCTGATTGGGAACACCCTAAAAATATTCTTCAATGTATAAATCACAAAGAGAGATGAACTTATCTTTCAAGGCACTCACCTAATTCTAACAAAATTGGAGTAATTTTACTAACATACTCATAAGCCCCTGGGTGTCTCATAAGACCAGACAGTTCAGTTTTCAATTTTTTTTTCACTGAACTGACTTGAGTAGTTGTTAAAGTTGGTGGTAAATTGAAATATAAGGATTCAATTGCCTCCACCACTCTTATCATAAATTCAGCTCTACTTTTAGCTATATTTGTGAGTACTCCCACACATGCAAATAAATTTGCACTACTAATATGTGGGGATCCATGGAATTTTACTAGAACTTCAAAAAGGTTACTAGCCTCTTCTTCAAGTTTTCTTCTTCGAGCTACTTTTAATGTTAAAGGAACATCATCCAGAGAAAAATCATTACTGCGTTTGTTTTCATTCTCATCTGGATATGTTTGTAGTAGTACAACACACTCAAGGAACTTCACTGAGCTTGTTCTTACACCATCATTATCACTATCAATCATATTTGCTATTTCTAATTTTATAGCACAAAGTTGTTTCCAAGCTTCTTCCATTTCATCAGTTGTAGTAGTTGCCTTGCACAGCCATGCTAAGGTTCTTCTATAAATTGTGATTGCTGCTTGAATAACACGCTTCTGAACTACTATAGATTCATCACAGAGTAGCATATGCAAGGTTAACATAACTTTTGGTATGTATGATTCTCTCACTTTACTGTAACATAGATGAATAATTAGAATTGGCACACTTTGTAAATTTTAAACATTCAAGAAAATGTTGCCTTCATGAAACCTATACAGAACTTACTGAATATTACACCTCAATGTATTTACAACTGAGCTTAAATATTAGAACTTTCCAAATATAATTTCACTCACATAAGTTCCTCTATAAATCCAACTAGGGCCTTTTTGACTTCAGCACTTTTATCTGTTGTAAAATTAAGAACATCGAGAAGGAATTTCGGCAGCAAAAATGGTGATTTCCTAAGCAGTATCTCTTGAACTTTGAAGAAATTGGCAAGCCTATCAGCAGGCTCCATAGCAAGACCACAATTATTGAGGTACTCAGTTACCTATACAAAAAAACATTGTATTTACCGATGGTTTTGTGCAATACCAATAATCTTACCAATTCTTCATCAGTAACACCTTCACTGTAATCCATTTTGCAGATTGTTGATAATAGAGTAAAAATGAATTATTCCTTATTGTAGGTATTGGATTATTTACCATCCATTTCACCATCTACTCTTTTGATAATATACCAACAATCCGAAAATCAAATTCCAAGAAGAGATGTAGATTTTTTATATTATTCCGAAAGTCGGAAACATCAGACTGAAGCTGAAAAGTTTATTTTACAGGTTAGAATTATCCAACTGCCAAGTGTCAACTGTGAATTGACAGGTGCGCATGCGCATTCCTCGTTTTTCCACGTTTGCGTTTGGTTTGTTGATCTGTGACGTTACCTTGCGTACTTTTACTTAACGTACACCCTCGTACACCTGCACTCATAACAGGCGCAAAGAGACAGGGCGCAACAAATAATATGAGGGGAAACAAGTCGACAGAAAATTTCTAGCCGAGAGCCCGAGAGGTTCACTTGCGGTGAATCTCTATCGGCCCCACAGTGAATGCATTCACAGTATTTTTTTCGAAGCTTGAAAAAAGTAGCAATCCTTACCACGATGCGTCATTTGTCAGATTGATTGGATTCGTGCTGGATTTCGTGCCTATTTTGCCACTGTCACTTTGACAGATGATAATAAAAATACGTCCATGAATAATAATAAACATAAACACTGAACAGGTCATGAGATAATATTGGAATATTCAAGTTTTCATTGTGTTGATCTACGTGGAACAGAATATTGGACATTGTGTTATTGAAAAATGTGATACGAATCAAAAAGATAGTATTTAAAACTCTTCAAAAATGGACCAAGCTGTCAGCATCGATTCCAATAAGAGGGGGAATCTAGAAGACCTCTCTAAAGATGATCTTATCAAAAAGTGTATCCATTTGTTAACTATAGCCCAGAAAGCTAAGCAAGCTAAAAGCATATTACAAGAAGAAAATGCTAAGCTGAAAGACGATTTTGAAAGAAACTTATCTGCCTCCCAAGAAATGATAGAAAATCTTACCCAACAAAAATTATCCCTGACGAGCAATGTTGATGAATTGAAAACCCAGAATAAATTCTACATTGAGAAGATTAAAGTGTCTGAAGATGACTTGAGAGAATGTCAGGAACTGCTAAACTCCTCTGATAATGAAAACATTTCATACCAGCGGCAAATCAGCAGATTAACAGAAGAGAATGAACAACTCCTTAATGATTTGGATGCCTTAGAAAAACAAATAGAGAAATTCAAAGATATTGGTGTACAGCAGCAAACCCAACTACTAGAGCTTGAGAAAAACAAAACACAAGATGATAGGAGGAACATGGATGAGTTGCAAGGAATGTTGAGTGTTAGTTTAGAAGAAGTTAAGAGACTCAAAGTAGATAACAATATGTTACTGGACAAGCTAGACAACCTTCAAACACAGCTGGCTGAAAAAGATATAAATCTAGAAATAATTAGTGAAAAATTAGTTTCCAAAAATAATTTAATGAAGGAGATGCAAGAGGAGATTGATAATTTAAAAGTAACCAATGAGTGTGAAGACAATATCAAGAGATTAGAAGAAAACAATATGAAAATGAAAGAAAAAGTGAAACTGTATCATTCCAAGATAGTAAAATTTGCTTCAATTGCAAAGCAACTTCAAGAAGATAAGGACACCATTTTAGATCTTTTCAGAGTCTATAATGATCAAGTGAATGATTGGAAAGATAAATTGCAAGTTGGAGAAAGATGTCTTGTTGGTTTTATTTCTAATATGGAATCAGAAAACCTACTTCTGAAACAACAAGTAATGAATAGTGACAGTGACCTGGGTAAAAAACTTAGTGAGTTGAATTTGAACCATGAAAATGAAATTAAAATTATCAGGGACCAGTATGAAAATGAAAAATCCCATATTTTGAAAAAACTGAACAGTAAAGAGGAGATTATTGAAAATATGATGAAGGAAAACCAATTACTCAAGCAGAATATGAATGATTCCAAACAAGATGAAAATATTTTTGATGACAAGATGAAAGAGGTTAATGCTAGTAATGAAGATCTGAAAAAAATGAATGACAAGCTCAAAAATGAAACATTGTTGTTACAAGATAAAGTACAATGTATGGAGAAACTCAATTCTGATTTATCCACAAATATCAATAAACTTGCTGAAACTATTGAAGAACACAACATTCTCATTGACAGTTTAAGATCTGAGAATCAAGCAGTGAAAGAAAATTGGGAAGAGTTGAAACTGTCATGTAAACAACTGGAAACTGAAAATATTTTCTTGAATACTCAGCTGAAAGAATCCATTCCAAGGAAAGAGTGTGAAGAAATCCAAATAAAATTGAGAAAAACTGAATTAGATCTACAGCAGAATCAAGAATTTCTAGAAAGGTTGAAAATTAACTACCAAAATTTTAAAACTGAGAAGGATAAGACACTCAAAGAACTAGAAAATGAAATAAGAATACTACAGAATGAAAATACCAATGTAAGAAAATCAAAAGATGAGCTATTGATGGAGCTGGATTTGGTAAATAGTGAAAAGAAAAACTTCAAAATAACACTCAAAGAGAAAACTGATGAATTCTATAAAATACTAGATGAAAATCAAAACAAATTAGTGGAATATGAAAAACTCATCAAAGAACTTCAAATGCAAAACAAATCTTCAGAAAAATTAGGAAGCCTATCTAGTGAAGAAATACATAACTTAGCAGAGGAAAATAAATCCCTTAATAAAGCAAATGAAATGCTGCTAGAAAAACTTGATGAATATGAACAATCTCACACAAATCTTAATCATTCATATTGTCAAACTGATGAGATATCCACTGATGTAAAAAATGTGGAAGAGCAGTTAGCTCATCTCAAACAAGAAAATACAGAACTACTTTCAGAAATGAATGAAATGAATCAAGCAATTAAAGAAAGAGGAGGTAACATTTCAAAACTTGAAGCACACTGTGAAGAAGTAATGAAAAAACTGCAAATCTATGAGACACAGGCTAATAAAAATATTGATAACATTACTGAAAAGGAAAATACTATTGAAAAACTGAGGAAAGAATTAGAACAACTGAAATCTGAAGAAAATGTCACTGGTAATAATGATAATAATATAGAGACCCAAGAGATAATCTCATTAAAAAAGGAGATAGAGATGCTCAAAGAAAGAATCAATTCTAATTTTGACACTAGCTATGCTGATAATGATGCAATGTCAACTTCAACTATTTCACGTACTGATGAAAGCAATAGGCTTAAGGACTTAGAAGGCTCTTGGGAAGAAAGATATGGAAAACTAAGAAATTTAGCTATCAAACTCAAAGGAAAAATCCGGGAGCTAACCCAAGCAGTTAATAAACAAGAAACTGAAAAGGAAGAATTGCAGAAAAAACTTGCACTGAGCCATAAAACTATTCAGAATCTACAAAACCAATCTGACAAGTTGGAAGATGAACTAGAATGCACAAGAAAAGAGAATAAGCAATATCTAAGTAGATTGAATGTTGTAGCAAATGATATATCCAAGGACAAACTGTCATTAGCTGATAAAGATGAAATTATAAATGATTTGAGGCAAGAAATAGAAAACTTCAAAAAGGAGAAACAAGCTACAGATATCTGGAAGAAACAAGTTAGTGTTAAAGTCCAAACTCTGAGAAAAGAACTAGAAGCTAATAACTTACTCAAAAAAGATTTTGAATCAAAGATATTGAATCTCTCAAATGACTTGGATGCTAAAGAACAAGCATTAAAATCTGAAATTGAGAGTCACAAGCATACCAAATCATTATTGGAACAATCTAACAATGAGTGTAAGAAACATTCTGTCCTGAATCTGGAAATGCAGGACTATGAGAGAAGTAATAAAGAAACATCAAAAAAGCTAGATAAACAGCTGGAAGAAATAACAAAACTCAAAGGTCAAGTAGAGTCACATAAAACAACTATAAATGCTTTGAGAGAGCAGAATAAAATTGTAGAAGAAAGGTTAGCAGAATCAGAAAAAAACACCACCTCTCTAACTTTTGAAATAACAACACTGAAAAAGAAGATTTTAACACTAGAAGATGAAATCTCCCATAAAATTGACAAAATCCACAATCTGACTCAGCTATTAGAAACATCTCGTTCTGAGACTGAAGAACTTTCAACTGAGTTATCAAAAGTTATTGCTGAACACCAAAAGGCTAACAACAATTTGAAAAATGAACGGGACCAGTTACGTTCTCAAGTGTTGGGACTCCAACAGAATTTGAGAGAAGTACAAGATAACCTCCAGCTGAAGACTGATGAACTGAGAGTGATTCAAATGGAATATGAAGGATACAAGGTGAGGGCTCAAAGTGTTCTGAGACAGAACCAGAACAGGGATGTTGGTATGGAGGAAAAACTGTCAGGAGAAGTTGCTCTATATATTAGTCAAAATGCTACATTGACAGATAAACTTAATCAAAATATGTGAGTATATGAATTCCATATATAAAAAGAAGTTTGTTTGGGATCTCTTTGTATTTGAAAATGAAAAAAGATATTCCTAAAGAATGACATGTAATTTGATTGATAGATCTTGAAATATAAATTTGAAAAAATCTGATATTGATACAAACTTCCAATCAAAATTAGTTTATAAATGATGAAGATACAATTATCACCCTACTCTCACTACTGGTTAATTATATTGTTACCTGATTTTTCAGGGAGAAATTGAAGTCTTTGGAAACATCACATGAGAAGCTTCTCAAGGAAAATGAAATTGATAACAAGAAGTTGACAGAACTGGAAGGAGAAATCCATGAATTGAAAAATCAGTATGCTGAATTGTCTGCTAAACATGAAAGAACTATTGCAGTTAATGCAGAAACTGTCAGGAGTTTGAAGGTATTTGAAAGGAAAATTTCCATTGAGTATAATGTCTCTCAGTTTCAACTATAGAATGTACTGATGGACAAATCCATTTTTACATTATATTATATACACATACCTAAAATTGAAAGAAAAGTTGGTTATTTATTCTTAAACAAATTATTACAGGCATTGAAATATTAATCATGCAATAATATTTTTTACTTTATATTTTTAATGGTAATGAAATATTCTCGGAAATAAAATCCTTTGGTCTTCTTTTTCAATCACTGAATAATTTCATTTATGAAAATAAAAGAATCAGGCAATCAAAAATCAGTGTCCTCCTGAACAAAGTTCTTTTTTTTAAATCACAATATAATTTAGGTGACACTTCTCTGAAACATTATTATGTATTTTTTGTTTGTGAAAAATATGTCATCTATTAGCAAATATATTAATTGAGATAATTTTCAATAAATTTTGTTGAACACTTGCAGATTTCCCTTCAATTTCTATGAATTAATGAATCAATGAAATGAAGGATCCTTCCTATAATCCTGAAGATTGGTGCATCCATAAGTAACCCAATACTTTGCACCCATATTTAGTTGTTTCTCACAAAAATGTCTCAAATATCATAACTCAGAATTATTCAACACACAGCATGCAATGTAAACCAAGGAATTCTCCACTGCTCCAAGGCACCATTTCAATCAATCAGTCAGTACAACTGATAAACTACCTTTTTCAAAATGGAATTCCTTTGAATAGTAAATGAGCCCTATTGAAACACAGGTAATCATTCAACCGCCAGTGAGGGTGAAAGATATATAACAACATCTTGTCCTCTCTTTCCTTATCATTGTCATATTCTAGCAGCTTGAAGTTAGATAGAACTCTATTCACGGGTATCACTGACACAAACTACGATCTTGCAGCATTGAGCAGAATTGTTTTCAGGCGAGCAATTTTTTTTCCGGTTGCTGGGATATGACCATTTGCCGGGTCTGTATAGTAGTTTATGTCCGACTGATATTCGTCACTAAATTACTGCTTAACAAACCCCATTTTCTTACTCATTGTATTGGAGGAAACTAGTTCAAACGGCCATTGCTATCTACAACAAATCTCGTAACACGAAGTATGCCACAACCCCGCTATTGTCGAAAATATTCAAGAATTAATAATTTCATATCAGAGATTTGATGGTTGGACAGTGTTTTTTTCAATAACAACGATATTCTAAAGTCCACACCGACACCCTCTCCCAATGCTACCGCCATCAAATCTCCGAGCAGGAAGTCCGCCACAACCGCGAGATTGTTGAGCTGCAGAGCCGGCTGTCTCTAGTTTTCTCATATGAAATGCACATTTTCTTTCTCATTGTTCATGAGGAAACTAGTTCTAATAACAATTGCTATCGCCAACAAATATCGGAACACGAAATATGTTACTACTGCGAAACTGTCGATAATTTTCCTTCAGATATTTGATGTTTGGACACTAATTTCCTCAATAACAACGATATCCTCAGATCCATGCCGGGGCACCCTATCCCGATGCGATCGCCAACAAATTTCTGAATACGAAGATTGTCACAACCCCGGAACTGTCGAAAATAATAAAAAACTCGTAATTTTACATCAGACATTTGATGTTTGAACACTGATTTCCTCAATATCAACGACAGTCTCATGTCCACGCCGATACCCTCTCCAAATGCTATCGCCAGCAAATCTCTGAATACGAAGTTTGTACAACCCCGAAATTGTCGAAAATTATCAAGAATCAGTACTTCTGCATCAGACATTTGATGTCTCTTCACTCATTTCCTCTAGGGTCCCTTGATGCAAACTGACGTATTTGTCGTCTAAGAGGGTACGGACAGATCATAGCTCCTTTCTCTTTTAATCATCTAATGACTTTGGTTTCGTGTATTGGCGTCCCTGACATGACATTGCTGTCACGTCACATTCATAGGCGTTAAAAGAGATCTTACAAAATTGAAATTACATACTTGATCTTAATACGACATTATTCAATTCTGTTTTGGATGGATGGTAAAATGTGCTGCATTGGGCTGTATCAATCAGTTGGATGGCAAATTTGAATTTATCCGAATGGGGAAAATTGGTAAATACTTCATCAAAATATTCTAGGTAAAACTAAATACGAAATAACATATTATACTTTCTCATTGTGCCTATATTTATCCACTCCACAAGTTTTTTGATGCATTTTAGTAGAAACAGTTTTGATTAAAACGGAGGATTAAAAGAAGAGGCATATACCCTACCATTTAAAAAATTATACCTATATTCAGGAAATATTAAGTGTTCGTGAAAAACTGCAAGAATTTCGAACATAAATATAATACAGGACACATGACATATGAGCACATCAGTTTGAATACCTACATAAAATTTTTCACCATTTCTCAACCATAAGGCTTGGTCTGAAATCAAAATTGATTTATTGATAGGTACTGCCTAAGAACAGTCACATTTGGTAAAACGTATCAAACATCCAGAAAAATTTGCTCACAGCCTCAGAAATTATGATGCTGGAGTTGAAAAATCAAAAACTCGAAAATTATCATTATCATTTGGATATAATATGTAGAGTTGAATGAGAAATTACATGTGGAAATCACGTATACTACGCCAATGTCCTCAATATAACCTAAAAAACAACAAATGTCAGAAATCTAGTGTTTATCCCCAGAAATGAATAAAGATGGAACTATATAACTGTTTCACAAACACTTTAGAGTGAGAGGAGACGAGGATCTGTCCGTACCCTGTTAAGATGACAAATACATCAAGGGACCCTAATATCCCCAATAACAAAAAATAATGTCAGGTCCACGCCGACACCCTCTCCCAATGCTACCGCCAGCAGATCTCCGAGCAGGAAGTCCGCCACAACCGCGAGATCGTCGAGCTGCAGAGCCGGCTGGAGAAGCCCCCGACGCCCACAGAGGCCCACCCCGCGCTGCCCACCGCCGCCCGCGAGGAGGGCGAGGGCTCAGAAAGCGTCGAGTCGGCCCTGGTCGTCGGCAGTGGACATCCTGTGCCTTTGGAGCGGCTGCTCGGCTCCGAGTCCGAGCAGGAGATCGGGCGGATGGAGAAGCGGCTAGCCGAGCAGGAGGCCAAGGTGGTACATCTGACGGCGCTGTTGTCGGATACGGAGCAGGTGAATGACGATTGGTTTATCGCGACGATATTCCGTTCTGAAGTGTACCTGATGAAAATGCGTTGAAAAATGTTCTATATCCTACCAAGAAATTTGAATACCTCGGAAATTTTGTGGCCTGAACCTATATTCCATGCCGGCCGCATCATATTCTGTTTCCATTTTTGTAGAATTAACGTTATCCGATGAAAATTCGAATAGAGTGAATTGATTTCCCGTGTTCTCACAGTTGGAAACTGCACAAACTTGCATATTTCTCCTAATTCTCTCAATTTATCAAACCTTTGAAATTTATATCATGTACGTCCGTGTACTGCCAGTTCCCGCTTTTTCCATCAATTTATTTGTGGTTATGTCTGATTGTCAGTGCTTGTATAAAGAGGAAAGATTTGTTTGTTTGTTGTTTGAATATCTCCATAATCGTTTGAAATAGCACAATGAAACCCGGCATCGTTGAATTCGTTATAATAATCCCTAACCGATTATGGAATAAAATATAGGGTGTTCCATTTGAAAATCGAGAGTTGATGTCATTTCTAGGAAAACCGGAAGACGAAAAAAATCCTAAATTGTGAGAAAGTGTCCTCTAGTGAGCATATTCGATGTTCCAAATTTTAGAAATAAAGCTAGAAAAACAAAGGAGAAAAGGAGGGTATACCATGAGTCTGTGTCACCTGGTATATATAAAAATACCCACCAGACAAACAATTAGATCAAAATAGAATATAAAACACAATTTCAATATTGAATTGAAATTGATCATTTCAAAATGAAATAAACAGATATGATGCGATTTAAAGTGAAGAAACAATTTACTCAGTAGTACGATCTAATCGACTTTTGAATAATGATACTGAGGGTGCATTAACTGTATCCCCATTCAGGTTGTTCAATGCCGAGAAAACACGATTAACTATGTAGTTCTAATTTCAAACTTATGTCCTCCCAATCATATATCAGCATTTATCTGGAACATATCACTCAGTGACGGTAGGTATCCAAGAAGAATCCGATAAGCTAGAATCAAATTCACCAAAATAACACGATAAATTCACTAAAAGGAAACAACAAACATAATAACCTCAGCAAGAGATCCATTGATGATAATATTAGTGATAATAATATTAATGATAATAATAATAATAATAATAATAATAATAATCATTTATATTTACCATTATCAAAAACAAGATATATGTTAAGGCACTTTTAGACACTCATTTTTGGACACGTGGACGTACCAGGTGTCCGTTGAGGTGTTGATACCGGCGACATCTACAACTGTTGATCATACAGATTCTGGAACAAACATTCATTATAAAATTTCCGAGAGAAACTGCTCGAATTTCTCTTCTGTATCCTAGATTGAAGGCTGGAAGATTCAATTATCGTCATGAAAACTATAAAATATTTACCCTTTAACGGACACCTGGTATATATTTCATCATAAGACCGACATAACCAAATCTCTTTATCTCAGGATCTGTTGAAGCATGTACAGATGAACAAACTGCTCAAAGAGGAGATCAGAAGGCAGCAAAGGTCGGAGGAGAGGGAGAAACACGCCGAGAACTTGGAATATCTCAAGAATGTTGTCTTTAAGGTATACAAAGTTTATATAATATGCAGTTATTATCGGATAGATCTTGGTCATCCTAGAGAAAAACATTGGGTGAACACATTTGCTGCCGTGTGAAACATATGATTTTTTTCTTCAAATGTTTTGAAACCAGTTTCCTGTAATTTTGTGTTAATTTTGATTACCAATTTCATTCAAATTACTTGGAAAGTTGCATAACCACAAACTTTTCCTGTCTAGGCAGAGAAAGTAGATCTTTCCTGCCTGTTAAGTGTCAGGAAATAGCCAGTTTCTAAGCCGCTTGAAGAAGAAAGCCATTTTCTATGCCGTTTTGAAAAAATAACTATTATCCGAAGTTGAAGGATGAGATAAAGCTGGTAGCAGTTTTTAATCAAACAGCGAGTATCGAACCTTTTTGTTGAAAACTACTTCTTTTGTTGACCCTATTGACGCTTTCAAGGTTAAATTTCTACAACTGCTTGTAGAATAGAGATTTTTATGAAAAAATGTGTAACTGTCCACAAGATCCAGCATACTATTAAATAGGGAGCAAGGCACAATAATTAGTGTACTGAATTTTCCTCTGGATTAAATTTGAGTTATATCATGATGGGTACCATTTTTCAGAACTAATTAAAATTCTTCCAAATTCAAATAGATTCCAAATTCGGCATCCAGGTAAGGATGTTCGAAATTAGCAAATGTTGCTACACAAAAATAGAGGGTGACGGAAAAAACGCGCCGTTGTTTATTTACCAGTTTCAATATGCTGAAACATAACTGAATTAAATGACTCCTCGAATGTTATAAGAAAGCATTTATTCAAAATAACTTCCCAATAATCTCATTACTATGATGGCTCTCATTAATTTTGAGCAGTAGGCATATTTTACTGATTATTCTACTTTTGTTTTCGAGAACCAATCAGAATCCTGTTTTACAGGGATTTTTCGTTCATCAAAAATTATTATCGCACTTTCTCGATACAAAAGACGAATTGACCAACACATGCCTAACCAACCTCGTTTTTCAACGAATATTATTTTGGCATTTCAATCATATTAAATACTATTTAATTTAGACGGCACGTTTTTCAGTAGTATTGTCTATTTGTCTCATTCTACAGAGTGGGCCTTTGAAAACGAAACAGAGGCTCTGTAGGTCGCCAAAACCGGATTATCAAAAAAAAACTGAAACAGGTCAACGAAATTTTCGAGGAGGACATCTTTCTAAAATATTTCCCTGCGGCGTTGCCGCTTCTAAAGAAAAGAAGCAACAACTTTGTTATTTCAAATGGAACACCTTGTATTTTATTGCATTTTTAGATTCTCCCCGAAGAGCTGATTTCATCAATGCATCACACTTTAGGGTCTAGCTGTAATGGTTTCAGGGATATAAAGTGTTCAAAATCGAGATTTTTCAACTTTAACATTCTTTTGTGTCGAAACTATTCATTATTGGTCAAAACGGCTCTCATGTCCCGATCTCAACTTGTGATTTACAAATACAGGGTGGTTCAAGATTCAGAATTCTGATCACCCTGTATCTGTTCCAATTAAATGTCAGTAGATAGTAAATCACAAGTTGAGATAGGGACATGAGAGCCGTTTCGACCAATAATGAATAGTTGAATAGAAAAATCTCGATTTTGAACACTTTATATCCCTGAAACCATTACAGCTAGACCCCAAGTGTGATGCATTGATGAAATCAGCTCTTCGGGGAGAATCTAAAAATGCAATGAAATACAAGGTGTTCCATTTGAAATAACAAAGTTGTTGCTTCTTTTCGTTAGCAGCGGCAACGCCGCAGGGCTGAAAATATTGTAGGACGATGTCCCCCTCGAAAACGTAGTTGACGTGTTTCAGATTCTTTTCATAATCCGGTTTTGGCGAACTACAGAGCCTCTGTTTCGTTTTCAAAGGCCCACTCTGTATAATGAAATGAAATGAAATATCCCTACAAATATAACTCATGATACTATTTTTTCTCAAAATCTTCACGACAAGCTGTCATGACAATCGCCAAATATTTCGGCAAATGGAAAATGCAGATTTTCTCTAGATTATTTTCACGGTCTCCAACTGTTTTCTTGACTTGGATGTAATTTTCTCGTTTTGTTTTCAGTTTGTTACCTTGAATAGTGGAGATGAACGAACTCGATTAGTACCAGTATTAAATACTATACTTAAATTAAGCCCCGACGAGACGAAAAAGTTGAACCTCGTAGCAAAGGGTGACGGAAGCCTGAAAGGGTGGACTAACTACTTGCCCGGATGGTCTTCACCAAGTAAACCAGAATAAAAATAGTTATTCTGGGTATGGGGCCTTCTTACTTACGCCAGTGTAAATATTTAAATATGTATTATTGATAATTTATAAAAATTTTAATAAATAATAACTTATATGCATTTGCATTTTGTTTATATTGTTAATCAAGATAAGCCATTTGTATTTGATATTATATTGTAAAACTCAAGCATAAACTAACTTGATTTGCATCCTGCTTTTGTGAATCGTCTTCTGATCGTGAAGTTGAGAAAAACCCAATAAATTTGCCAAAAATCTATTTTGTTGCAATGAAACGACCCAAAAAAAGAGTAAAGATTTTCAATGAAACGTAAACGCACAATTTGAGAGAAAAATCGATTTGAACATATTGAACAAAAAATCAATTCGACATTTTGAAGAGTCAATCTTCTCATGCAATTATTCTTGATGGTATATTGTGATGCTGATTAAGTCATCTTCTAAAATTCATACATGTATATGCATAAATAATTTCATTGTGTTCCCGATTCTGAAATATAAAAATCATCTTCCAGACGGTGCCTCTTTAAGACGCCGTATTTCCTATTCTACTGTCAAATTATATTACATGCTAACTATTATTGGACACCCTCTGTATTCTCTAATTTAAATTTTCCCGCCGGCCTATCAATTTTCCCCATCCCCGAACGTCACACCCAAGCATTTTTCCGCTAATTTCATTGGTCCCATCAGTTGCACATTCCCCTATTTTTCCAACACAATCAATTTTATTACCTCTGATTGACTGATGCAATTGAAAAATTGTTGCAATATCAGAGGCTTAGAGCATATATACGTGCTCAGAGCACTCGTGAGTTGGTCTGATTGCTTAGATTAGTCAAATAAAGCTCAAAAAGGAAATGATCACCCTGTAAAATCGGGATGAATCAATACTTCCAGGCTCCCCTCCCTAAATCACTTCCCCTGAAACTTCCGTCTGGCTTGCGCTTGTGAGTGCCGTCGTCTTGTCGATTTTCTTCTCTTGCTGTGCTTTTGAAACAGGTAAGTTTTGCTTTCATTTTATTCATTTTCATATCTCTGAAGTACAATTTCTTATTATATAATCATCACAATGCAGAAAATCAAAGGAATTCCTTAGTGAGATTGTAGAACAATAATAATTATTAAGTAATTTGACATTGTCATCATTGCATTTTGACTGCCGGTGCCCGGCGAATACATTTTTCGATATGCTCATGTTACAATATTTTGCCTTTCTATAGATCAATAAAGACAATGCCATTTTTGTTAATTAGTTACATTTGTGAGCTATATTAAAGAGGAGGAAAGGTACTTAATCGTACTTAATCAATTCCAAAATAATGTTTTCAAGGCATCCCCTCCCATTCGTCTAATTAGAGATTCTCACATTCCCGCATTTTATTTCAAATTCGAAGGATGAGAATCAGAATCAAATTCAGATTTAAATTGCAACTGGAAAATTTCTTGACCTTTCCCAACAGCCAGAAATTCTGACTATGACTGCCAAAAATCGAAACTTTATAGGCAATCGCGAGCATGAAATCAATAATATACCTAATGTCTTACGAGTTGGGAGGTTCGGAGGCGGTAGAAGTACATTATCATCTTTGTTGTCGCAATCACGTCATGTTGCATCATAACATGGCTGCTTTAGCAGCTGCAGATGCATTTATTATTGTTTTATAATACGCTATTTAATAATATGATTGATACTGTGCCATTGGCACTCATATATTTATAATAGGAATTGGAATTGTCCTGATTGAGTTTTCAGTTTTTCCCTAAATTAATTAGGTAATCGTCCCATATACTGACCAATGAAAGGGTCAAGGTCAGACAATTATGAAATTGAAAATAGATTGTGCAGCAAATTCTGACCAGGATCACACTATTTATAGGTAGAACTACAACTGTTTTATCTCCTGTAATATACAGTTTTGATAAGGCAAAGAATTGTCATTTGATGATTCAGTGGTTTTGCAGTTGATATAAATGTTGACGGTGTGATATACTCTAACTCATGAGGAATGTTCATATGACGGTTTTGTTGTTGTTTATTGTCCCTCAATATGATTTGTTGGATTCACTCATTTCCTGCTCTAGAAATATGCATTATAAACTGACAACGTTCGATTCACTCTATGCACCATGGACGTAGTCAAAACATTTCCTAAGGGGACAAATGGAGTAAAACTGATGTATACTTAAATATAAATAAAAATCAGTACCTAATAGTGATATTTAATAAATACTACTACAACATCACATTTGATTCAGATTGAGATCACCAATTTCAATAACCAATAATCCTGAAGCACATCAGATATAACCCAACGTTCAGACACAGATTAGTTAATCTGTGGTTCAGATACGAAAGCTTTGATGCCGCGCCTTTATGTTCGATGGCTGAAAATTCGTGACCTTGAACGCCACTACCGTATACCTGGAGAAAACTGTATCGTTGTAATCAGTATCTATTTAAGTTCAATAATAAAACTGAAAAAAAAAAGAATATTTTTGATCATTTGAATTTGGCCGACTGGAGTGTAGTGATCGCACCAGAGTTCAACCCAACCCGTCTTATTGCCTTTTGTAACCATGACAACGTCGGACATGCGCATACAAATTTGGTTCTGGCGGGAGGCCTAGGTTTCGCATCTTGACGTTGAGTGATCTGTGCCTAAAGACGTATCACCAAGTCTTTGGAATCGCGTAGGTACCTTTCAAATAATAAGGTGTCGATGGGTGATGGATAAAAAACCAGGACACATATTACTTAACTATGTATAACTGTTTATTATATTTTCGTTCACAAAAAATATCGAATACTAGCAAAATTGACAAGGTCTGAAAAAAATTGAAATACCGGCTCTTGGATTGCTCATGGCATCTGCATATACGAATATTCCTTAGTGCTTTTCTATTCCTTCTGCAAGTACGGTAACAAAAGAGAAGCACTAAAAATATTGACACATTCTTGTTACATCAACTTCTTCATGCTCTTATGTCAGTACAAATAATATACTACCCTAACCGAACCTAACGAAACAGGATCTACTAAAACCTATTTTCCACTACCCCTTCGTATAGGTATCCATCCGGACATAGCTATACAGTGTGTCCCACTTACCATGCTCACCATGGGTATCTTTTTAACGGTGAGAGATACGAGGTCGGTTAAATGACACCAAATGTGGAGTTTGTCAAGGCCAACTATAATGTGAAGAAATATTTTTATAAAATCTATTCGTTTTTGTTTTATAAGCAAAAAACAGATTTTGATCATTTTCATGTCTCCTCCGTAACTTCTTCATTTATGAAAATATTCAAGTAGGAATTTCACATTCTCAATGCAGTTTTTCGAAGTGATTTCAAAAAAAATATGAAATTTATACCAACTCTTCTAGAATTTGAGATATCAGCACCAACTTTAGTTTTTCAAATATAGGTCATATAGCCATAGCTCACTATGACTTAGTTACAAATAACTTTTTTTCCAACAGATGATATGTCGCAGTAATAGTTTTGTGTTGATAACAACTGAGTTATTGTCATTTATACAAAAACAAAAAATTATTTGGAAGCCGCCATCTTGAATTTATGAATTTCAACAAAAAAAGCATGATCTCTGTAGATCGTTTGTTCCCAGCACCCTGTATTTTTTGATGAAACGGGAAAAAATTCTCTGAAAAATCATTTTGGATGATTTTTCCAAATTTTTGAGTCGGTTGATAAATAAGTGAGTTAGAGGGGGGGACATTTATGGTGAATCACCCTGTACATAATGCTTTGACGTCATAGGTTTAGTTCGTTATCCTTTCTTGGAATTCGTAAAGCATAAAATAGATCTGAATTTTTGTAAAGGTATTTACTGATGAAAGAAATAAATATCGAATTGGCAAAACTGGTCCGCGCGGAGAGTGAGTTCGGACTGAGTTGACAAGCAACTGTCATTTGCTGTTGCTAAATTAATTATTGATGTGGATATAAATGTTTGAGGTCAAAAAACTGCCTATTCTCTCGCCTGATTGCTAGCCTCGGCTATCAATTTGCAGGCTCTAAAAGAAGTTTTTCTACCTTGGTACATAAATAACTATTTCCCAGGTTGGTTTTTTCATCTTTGAACATGGGTAAAGAGAAAATCCACATCAACATCGTCGTCATCGGCCATGTCGACTCCGGCAAGTCTACATCGACCGGTCACTTGATCTACAAATGCGGTGGTATCGACAAACGTACAATAGAAAAGTTCGAAAAAGAAGCTCAAGAAATGGGCAAGGGTTCCTTCAAATACGCCTGGGTTCTGGATAAGCTGAAAGCCGAACGCGAAAGAGGTATCACCATCGATATAGCCCTGTGGAAATTCGAGACTGCCAAATACTACGTTACGATCATCGACGCCCCAGGGCACAGGGATTTCATCAAGAACATGATCACTGGAACCTCTCAGGCCGACTGCGCTGTACTCATTGTGGCTGCGGGTACAGGCGAATTCGAGGCTGGAATCTCCAAGAACGGCCAGACCAGAGAACACGCTTTGCTGGCCTTCACTCTGGGAGTCAAGCAACTCATCGTCGGCGTGAATAAAATGGATTCGACTGAACCACCCTATTCCGAGACTCGTTTCGAAGAGATCAAGAAGGAGGTGTCTTCGTACATCAAGAAGATCGGTTACAATCCGGCCGCTGTTGCTTTCGTTCCGATTTCCGGTTGGCATGGGGACAATATGCTGGAGCCGTCTGACAAGATGCCATGGTTCAAGGGGTGGGCGGTAGAAAGGAAGGAAGGGAAGGCCGACGGTAAATGTCTGATCGAAGCCCTTGATGCTATTTTGCCTCCTTCTCGTCCTACCGAAAAGCCACTGAGACTTCCGCTTCAGGTGAGACCTCTTGAAATATTTGTGCAATGATCAAAATCAACATTTATGATTTTGATCTCACAATCAATAAAATCTATCCTCATATCTTGGTATTAGTATTAGTATTGGTAGGTGTAGATGGTGACAGATGCGCTGCGACCTAATTATATATAATTCGGCCCATCTTCTGCTATCTCAAGGTTCGTTTATGGCAACCGCTCAAGCTTCAGTTGTTTCAGGAATCTGAGGATTTTGAGGAGATCTGTTCGTGGTATCTCTCCCGCAGTCAGCTGGTATGATCCCAGAGTATATTCGGGCTTTTGTGATGTACAGTATAACACTCCAGCAAGATGTGGTGAGCTGTTTCTGGATGTGCCCCACAAAATATGCAGGTGCTATTCCTCTCTAAGCTTCGCTTCCTTAGATGTCCTGAGTGTCTACAATCTCCCTTAGAAATCTCGTTATAGCCTTGAGACTCGGTTTTGTTGAGGTTAATCTTCGATCTTGCTCATTTGAAATTGCCGAGAAAATCTTTGGTCTACCGCAGTTCTGGAAGTCTTTGCCAGTGTGCAATGTTGTTCTCATTGCTGCTTCAACTCACTCAAGTTCTTGAAAATTAGAATTTGCAAGGCAGAACGGTTCTGGTCCGATCAATCGCGTTGATGCTCCTTATCGTGCCAGAATGTCTACTTGTTCATTTCCCTTCACTCCAATGTGCTCCGGCAACTAGAAGAGGATTACCTTGTTCCTGCTTAAGTCAATGAGATCGTCTAGGCATTCCCAAACAACCATCTCAATATCATATCAAGAAGAATATTCTCTTTCAAATGTGATTTCATCAATAACATTATTGTTGATGTTTTGTTTATCCCCGGTCAGTTTTGTTCCATCAACTTCAAGGTTTGTGCCTCTTCATAGTGACAAAAATCAGAAATATAGGAACGTACACATACCTCTATATATTTGAAAAATCTCAATGTGATTTCAGGATGTCTACAAAATCGGTGGTATCGGTACGGTACCGGTAGGCAGAGTGGAAACGGGCGTCCTCAAGCCGGGCATGGTCGTCACTTTCGCCCCCGTCGGCCTCACCACCGAGGTCAAGTCCGTGGAGATGCACCACGAGGCGCTGCAGGAGGCCGTGCCCGGCGACAACGTCGGCTTCAACGTCAAAAACGTGTCGGTGAAGGAGCTGCGACGCGGGTTCGTGGCCGGCGACTCGAAGAGCAACCCGCCCCGAGGGGCCTCCGACTTCATGGCGCAGGTCATCGTGCTGAACCACCCCGGGCAGATCGCGAACGGGTATGTAGAGCCCCACTTTTTCTGGTTGGCCTGTACAGGGGTCTTCACAAAGTTACCTGATTCACAGGGTTCGTGAATATTTAGTTGGGTTGTGTCTAGACATCAAGAGGCCTGTACAGGGGTCTTCACGAAGTTACCTGATTCACAGGGTTCGTGAATATTTAGGTATGTTTTGTGTAGACATCAAGATGGTATTTCAAAATAGGTACATATAATCTCTATTCAGCAACTCATCATATAGACAGGCGGAGGTGATGAGTACATATGAAGGTGATTACTTCACTTACATGTTTATTTACACATTGATGGATAGGTACACTCACTATATTACTGGGTCAATTTCAAAGGTTCAATAAACATTGATAAACATTTGACCTTGAAACGAAATGTTCACAAGGTACCTACTGTCTTTTGAACAATTACTAATAACTGACTGGCAGCAAGACAATGTGTCTCAAGATGACTGATTCAAGACTCCTATCAAAGAGTTCGTTCATCATGAATAATTCTAGAATTCTTGTAGAATTGCATTATTTCCGAGGCTCTCGGTAGACTTCTCGACTAACAAAAAGGGAATTTGAAACATATTGGCGTTAGTTTCTGCTAAGACTCCACTCTTCTAAGACTGCCATGGCCATGGCCATTAATATTTAGATGGATATTCAATTAGTCTATTTGATTCAGTAAACCCATACACTTTGACATTTTTCTGTAATTTGCCTATGAGTAATGTCTATGCCGCCGAAGGAAAATTGGAGATACTGAATGAACGGCTAACTCGCCAATGGATATAATAAGGTTTTGGGTGAAAAAAATTCGTTAATTTCTGGAATGATTGTAATCTTCCTTTAATATATACAGCTGTCTAGGAATTCTCAAGTTATGAGCTTGGCCTAATATTCAACTATACATACATATAAATACACTTCGTGGAGTTTCAATGCAAACCAGCTGAGCAATGATGAGCTTTATAGAATAATAAATTGATTGTTCATTTAATTACTTCTCATACAGGGTATTCAATCCGAAGTTCCTCCGTTTCCAAGATACACGGTGTTCAATTTGAAAAATAAAAATCGACAAGTTCACTCCAAAAAAGAATTTTGAATAATCCATTTTTGCACTGCTCATTCACTGACCAAATTACATCCACGAAGATAACAGCAAAACTTTTTTATTCAATAGCTATTTATATATCAGGGGAGAAAAGGTATCCATTTCCTCCCGCGTGTGAAGTTTGATGCACGACGCGTATCGGAGGGCACTAAACACATGGAAGGAAATTAATCTTTGCTTCCATGAAAGTTTTGATTAGAAGTACGTTCGGGTTCGGAATATGAAGAAGCGTATGATATCATTAGAATTGAACAAGGATATTATTGTTATTTGTTTTTTAAAATTGATAAAGACAATGATAACTTTGGATTGCACAGATTTGCACCTCTCGCGGGAGTTGATATTTTTTCCTCCCGCGGGAGTAAATTGACAACGTAATTTCCTTGAATGAGGGAGCAATAAACCCCTACTTTCGATTCAGTGAGTAGTTAAAATGATATAAATTTTCCGGTGCGGCATCGAACACTAAAAACTGAAATATCTCGAAAACGACATACTTGAGCAAATCATCGCAAGTGTACCTTTTCTGCTTGAAATTATTCAAATAATCATTTCCTCAACAAAAAAAGTGGAAAACTACACTGAGAAAAAAGTTATGGCTATTCTAAACCATAAGAAATGCATTGGTGAGCGCCTTCTAATGGCCACAGTGAAAGGGATTCCGTATTCGGGTAAACTGAACTAAACTAAACAGTTCAGTTCATGAACTGAACTGCTAAACTGTATAGTTTAGTTCATTCTACCAGTATATCACCTGACGAAGCTATTGTGTTACCGAAACATGTTATGTGTTTGAGAAGTTTGTGGAAATCTTATCGTTTGTGAAGTTTTTTCATTTCATACACTAATTATTATTTTTATAATTGTTATTTTTGTTCAAAATTCCTTTTCGTTACAGGTACACGCCCGTGCTGGACTGCCACACGGCCCACATCGCGTGCAAGTTCGCCGAGATCAAGGAGAAGTGCGACCGTCGTACGGGCAAGACCACCGAGGAGAACCCGAAGGCGATCAAGTCGGGCGACGCCGCCATCGTTAACTTGGTGCCGTCGAAGCCGATGTGCGTCGAGTCGTTCCAGGTGAGATGTTTGTAATAGGCCTGATTCAGTGAAACATTTCATTTCATAATTTTCAAGTACTAACCCAAACTAATCTACTGTTACAAACCGTTTTTTGCTCAGGGCTGTGAGCATTTTTTACATAATTTTTGAAATTCACGATATTTGTTCCCTTGAACGCGGGAAAACGCGTGATGAAATCTATCGTGACCAATCCAATGCAACCATATAAGATTCAACTTACGTATATATTCTCTATTTCTGTAAGACGAGTGCGAGAATATTTCTTATTTTATTTTTTATCAAAATATGAAATGAATTTTCTGGACTGAATACTCACTGCAGATAGCAGAAAACACAACACATACCTAATGAATCAGATAATCTTGGGATTATCTTTGAATAATTCGCAGTATTTGTTTAGACTTGACCAGATAATAGGATTTTGATTGATTGATTGATTGTCTTTATTACCCCAAGAAACATAGTTGTTTAAGATGAAGGTGACAGACGAGGATGACATTAGAAAGTTAGGGTCACAAAATAGTTTGTCATCATTCTCAGATTTGAACGTCAGTTCTGAAAATTGAAAAGGCGTGCCCGCGAAACTTTCGAATATGTCTTGTTCGGTAACAAAATGCAAAAATTTTAAGAATGATGGTTACCTTTTATATTTGAGTTGTCCGAAAACGAGAAGACATCTGAAGTATTTGTTAAAGCTTCAAGCTGGAAATACATTCAATGATGCAATATTCATACAGAGGTAATGGGAATGTAGCGGTTCGAAAAATTATATGGCCAATGTTGCCACTTTTTCAGTTTTTCCGGAATTATTATCAACTTCCTTATTTCACTATATACAGTGTGTCTCACTTCTAATGGAAACATACCTGTATCTTACGTATTCGTTGGGTGAGGATCCTGAAATTTGCCAAGTGAGTCCATCTTTAGTGATATACACTGGTCGGCAACAGCCATGGAACCACCCCAATTTCCGGAAAATGATATTAGGAGATGAAAAAGGTTGGAAATCACTTCGGGTTCGGAATCAGGAAGTCCAATTCACTGATTATTCATATTTTTTCTGGAACATTTTCAGTTCTGAAAATTTCATTTTTGTCTCACTTTTCATTGAAACACCCCCTTATCTTACGTAATCATCGAGTCAGTTCTAATCAGGGATAATGAAATAACAATCTGAACTAGTATAATTGAATAGATTCTCAGGAGTGATTCAATGTATCAGAAATCATGACAGGTGTCATTGAAATGAATTATGAATGAATGGATTCGTTAATTGTATGAAGAAAATCGTTACCGATAATAATGCGTCAAAATATTGAATGTTAGAGAATTGGACGTCCTGTTCTCGAATCCGAAGTGATTTTCAACCTATTTTGTCTCTTAATATGTGTATTTTACTGAAGATGACCCTACTTGGTCATATGGTACATTTTTGGTATATCTTTCGCTCCAGCAAATTTCAGGATCTGAACCCAACGAATAAGTAAGATACGGGGTTGTTTCGATGAAAAGTAAGACAAGAATGAATTTTTTAGAATCGAAAATTTTTCTGGGAATGTATGGATATAGTTAGTGAGTTGGGCATCCTGATTCCGAATCCGAAGTGATTTTCAACTTATTTTGACTCCTAATATAATTTTCCGGAAATTGGGGTGATCATAGAGTGCATTTTTTGAATACCTCTCGCTCCAGAAAATTTCAGGATACTTACCCAACGATTACATAAGATACAGAGGTGTTTCCATTAGGAGTGAGACACACTGTATTTTTCTATCATTTGATAGATACATTTTCAACGAATTCAATTTAACGATTATATGAACTCAAAATTTTTTGTTCCATTCATTTTGTCAGGAAGCAATTGAATTTATCAAATTTGAATTTCAATGAAGTCAATACGATTCACGCCCATGAAACAAGGCAATTTAATTTATTGATAGCATATAAGTCAAATCTTGGTAAACAATCAATATTCCATGATGGAATAATTTTATATAACTCCTTACCTGATGAGTTTAAAAATATAGTATGTAGAAGATGCAGAAAAATTTAAAATCAATTCAAAGAAATATCTGCTCAGTAAATTTCAATTCCATATCTACTAATCATTCGCAATTTAATTACTTGGAATGGATCATAATATTTTCATTTTACATTTTATTATATTTTTTCTATGAAAAACGATAATTGTGCAATTATTATTGTTTTGATTTATCATGTTATATCTTTAAGTATTCACACTAATGCAGGGTTATATGTATGTTTTGTTATATACAGGGTGCCCGTAATTCGAGCTTAAGCATGGGGATCTCGGTTAAAAAAATAAATTTTCATTAGCTATATTATTATCTCTCTGTTCTTCATTGGAAAATGACATTTCGCAATCTAAAAGAGTGAACTTCTAGCGTTAAAACTATCCTGAACTGTCAAAATTCGAAGTCAACAAATTTGACCAATTTGTTTCCATGGCAATCTTCGAGAAAATGTTAATTAGAAAATTTCGAGCATGATATGAAATCAAAACAAGTTGTGTAGTACATCGTCGGAATCAGAAAAAAAATGTATATTAAAAAAGTTGACTGTCGTTTGTTTCTTTCTTCGTGTGTCAAAAAATTATGATTATTTTCGAATTCCTTGCAGAAGACTGCTTCGAGAATGTTTTGGTAACAAATGGCTAACTTGATCGGTTTTCCTACAAAAAAATAAGAACGAAAATCGCAAAATTTAGTTTTTGGGCGATATCTTGAAAACAAAGAAAGACAGGTCAGTTTTTTTTTCCAGATTATTGGTCAGCACCTGAATGCACAACTGTGCCCTAATTGGAGCAACATTAAGCTCGAATTACGGACACCCTGTATATATTCCTATTATAAACAATAATGTTTCTTGAGGTACAGGGTGATTCACCATTAATGTCCCCCCTTCTAGCTCACTTATTTTTGAACCGATTCCAAAATTTGATATAGCATCTTGAATGATTTTCGATAAAGTTTTTTTCCGCTACATCAGAGAATACAGGGTGCTCGAAACAAACGATCTACAGGGTTCTATTCGATTTTTTTAAATGGAACACCCTATTTTTCATTGTATCTTTAGATTCTCCTTGAAGATTTGATCAATGCATCGCACTTGGGGTCTAGCGGGAATGATTACAGAGATATAGAGGGTGTTCAAAATCGAGAGTTTTCAAATTTAGGATTTTTTTGTGACGAAACTATTCATTATCGGTCAAAACGGCTCTCATGTCCGTATCTTAGTTGTAGATTTACTATCTACTGACATTCAATGATTAGAACAGATAAAGGGTGATCAGAATTTTGAATCTTGAACCACCCTGTAAATGTTCCAATTTAATGTCAGTAGATAGTAAATCAAAAGTTGAGATGCGGAAATAGAAACCGTTTTGACCAATAATGAATAGTTTCGACACAAAAAAATCCTAAAGTTGAAAAATCTCGATTTTGAACACCCTATATCTCTGTAATCATTCCTGCTATACCCCAAGTGTGATACATTGATGAAATCAGCTCTCCAGGAAGGATCTAAAAATACAATGAAATACAGTACTCTGTAGATCGTTTGTTCCGAGCACCCTGTATTTTCTGATGCAACGAGAAAAAAATTTCTGAAAAATCAATTTAGATTATTTTTCAAATTTTCAAATCGGTTTAAGAATAAGTGACCTAGAGAGGGGGACATTTATGGTGAATCACCCTGTACTAAAGAAAATCAATCAATCAATCAATCAATTTCATCCCCTTATTGGGCGTTCATTGACAGAAGTAATCTATGTTCCAGGAGTTCCCTCCGCTGGGGCGCTTCGCCGTAAGAGACATGAGACAGACGGTGGCCGTGGGGGTGATCAAGTCGGTCAACTTCAAGGATACCACCGGTAAAGTGACGAAGGCCGCGGAGAAGGCACAGAAGAAGAAATAACTAGGCATAGCTGGACGTGCTGCCAAGGGCGCCAAGACCATCTTCATCAGCAGTTTTTATTTTTTGGATAGGCGGCAGCAGCAGAATTATTTTCATCGAAAGGAGTTCCGAAGGAAAGATGATGCGTTTATTGGTTTAGTTTTTATTTAATTTATTGTAAAGTTCTTTTGACTGTTATCTTTATCGGAATGGCATTTTTGATGTAGGGTAAGTTACTTTATTGATATTATTCATAATGATATTTATAATTTGTTTTTCGTTAACTTGATGAATGATAGACTTGATAATGATGTACCTACCTATGTAGAAGCTTCTGATAATAACCAATAAAGAAGTTCAGGAAATGAGACTGTTAATCAAAATCAAAATCCCTTTCTCAAATATAAGAATGCGTTGCTTTATCAGTACTAAAATTGGAATTTCAATTTATGACGTTTACCAATTCTTGAATATGTTTGAACCCAGGCAGTAGGTCGAAATTACTAGGCAACAAGCTGTCGTAACAATCACCGAATATTTCCGGCAAAATATTATCACTTGTGGTATTATATATGAAAATTATATTCTTCGAAAAATTACTCGAGCGAAAAAAAAATTAAAAGAGTTGACGCCTGCAGGGTTTGAACCCCAGCCACCGCCGTGTTAGTCAGATACATAGTCCACCGAGCTATAGGGTAACTCGAAAGTTTTCATTATGAACATCTATGAAGAAAGAAGAAATGTCGTTTGTTCTTTGCCGAAATAGGAACGGGGTTTTCCGCATTTCATCCACAAATTGCTCATAAAAAAGGTGTGTCTGGTACGTCGTGCAGCGATGACCAACACTGGCGCGGAGACTTATTGCGTACGCTTCTAGAAATATGGTTCCAGGTACAGAGCAGTGTGGCAATGACGGCTAAAAATCTAGAGTGCCTGATGGGTATAAAAGTTGAATTCTTGATAGCATATTGATTGTTGATAGTACATCTGGTACCGCCAATGAACTCAATACAATCATCACCGCTGGCCTACCCCAGGCAACCAGATGACGTTCCAGTGACGTCTTTTTTACGTCACTTGAATGACCAGGGTGACGTCAGTAGTTGACGTCGCATTGACGTGATAATGACGTGAATAAGTCACAGACCAATGACGTCATATTACTCACGTCGTATTGACGTCATTCACTCACCAAACTGTGACGTCCGACTGACGTCATAATGACGTCAAAATAACGATTAAATTTGGCGATGATATATAAAATAGATTCCTTCAACATGGTGTGATAAACACCACTAGCCTCTGATGACATTATATAATATTGATTATGCATTGTTGAGTCCCTCCTGCTGTGTCATGTTCATTCAATCGCCTATTCAGCAGCGCCATCCTTCAGTACGCATCTCCATCAGAATGCAATCAGTTACTCGTGTTTGTATCAAAAATGATGTAGTTTGTGTCGGCGAGATGTAGGCAAAGAAAGAATAGCTTGATAGCAATGGAAAGGATGTTTGGCTTCACTTTGTTGAATAATGTATATTGATGCATTATGTCACCCAACAAAAATTCAAATAGTAAATTATTGATTAATTTCCTAAATGACGAAGCTCACCAAATTGGTACGTCACACCGACGTGATTTTTAGACGTCATAGATACGTCACTGCAACGTCATAAGAGTAACGGTTTCAATATAGGTATACCTAAACAATCATTTTTATATATACATAGCTTGTTGGTTTCCGAGATATACAGTGTGCCAAAGTTTTTTAGAAAAAAGTTTGTCTACTATAACTTTCCGGGTATATCAATAATTAGAATAAAACTTGCATGTTGATTCGGTTTCATGAGTTATACTTCTGTTTCACATGATAATATATAAGTCTCTATGGTTTAGAGAAGGTCTGGGAGAAATGGACGTCGACAGGACGTCCCTGCAACGTCATGAAACTGACGTCTTCTTATACCCATCTAAGTGACGTACACTCGACGTCGAAACGATGACGTGATTATCACGTCATAAAAAGTACGTCATAGTGACGTCATAAATTGGTGTGTGACGTCTCTGACAAAAAATCACCAATCAGGGACGTCACAGTGACGTGATCATTCGTCATCTGGTTGCCTGGGACATAAAATGGATTCATCCACCCTTTGTGGTTTATCTGTGAGCACTGCAAGTAACAGTCTTATGATATGATAAATTTTATTCATTGTCAAAGATGTTCAATTAAATGTCGACAAAAGTGATTTAAGATTGTATTGTCTATTACGATGTTAGTATTTTTCGCCATTTCTGAAACAACAATTCAATGTCTTCAATACCTGCACATCTGGATAGTTTTCTATAAATTTTAGGTAATTTTGAAATTTTGGTAAATGTTGTTTCGTAACGATAAAAGTACTTCTGTATCTCAATGATCATTTCGGAAACTATTGCAATAAACTTCAATGAGACATTCATAATCATTCCCAATCGTCACACATGCATCAAGCACGGTTCTGAAAACTCGAACTTGGAACAGTGGAATTTATTTCTCGACAAAATCGCCCCTGAAATTCTCAGTAGACCACGCAAAATTCGAAAAATTCGAAAAAGTTCGAGCTAGTGCGAAGAGTGGAAATTTGAGGCTCGTTTGTTGGTATTTTACCGTACCTATTTCACTACCATCAAGTGCTGATGATACTACAGGCAACTTGAAAACATGCTAATTTGATTCTTTCCTTTTTTCCCATTTATCTTCCATTTTGCACAATGCTCTCGGTCTTGGACCATAGCCGACAATGATTTGATATGAATCATATTGAAAATTGAATATTCCTGACGCTATGACAATATCAATTGATCGACTGATTGTTAGTAGAAATATATATTTACTCATAGAATGATGATAAAAACTCTTTAATATTATAAAATAAACAAATATTATCCTGTACCATGCAGAGAGATCGGAATTAATGAGTGAATTTTTATTAGGTACCAATACATACACTCACAGTCAAATAAATCAATCAATCTGACATTTAATAATATACAAATAATACAATGTAGGGAATGGTTACTATAGGTACCTACTTACTTTGTTCAGAAATTAGAGAAAAATGTCACATGTTTTGCCACCTTGCATAATATGAACGTGTGGATAATTTTTTTGAAATTTCCACTTGTTTATGAATTTACTTTAAGACAAATAAGAAAGATCCAATCAAACTTTAATAGATAAAGTTAATGAGCAAACTTCATCGATATTTAGAGTGGACCGATTACCGCGATCTACAATTATTATTTGGCGATTATCAGATCAAAACTCTTCACTCTGGGTCGACAGGTAAAGCGATACCCACATCACACCACCGTTCAAAAGCATTTTCTGTGCACAATAACGGGCCCAGCTTCCTCGTACTCCATCTTGGATATCCACATCTGCTGGAAGGTGGTCAGACTGGCCAAGATGCTGCCCCCAATCCAAACGGAGTACTTTCGTTCAGGAGGCGCGATGATTTTCAGCTTCATGGAAGCCGGCGCCAAGGCTGCGACTTCCTTCTGGATGCGATCGGCGATTCCAGGGAACATGGTGCTGCCTCCGGAGAGGACTATGTTGGCATAGAGGTCTTTGCGGATGTCCATGTCTGATCGCATGATTGAGAGATAGGTCGTTTCTGCTATTCCGGGGGTCTCCATTCCTGAAAACGATACATTTCAAGGATAATACCTAATGAACTGACGACATGGAACAACATATGTGAAGTATAAGCGCGGGCTTAGGACCCCGAAGAACAGGGGGACCAGAAACATTGTCGATGATTTCCGTATTTTCTTTGACCTAGATATATCCGAGAATGAAATTAATTAAAAGGGTGAAAAATTGATTACAGATGAGCGGAAATATCGAATATGAGGCTCTTCAGTTCGTTAAATTTGTAAAAGAAGTGAATATGGCAGATCCAGCCGACATTAATAAACTTTTATTTTATCCCGAACGTAGAAGCCGTTTGTAATTTTTTTCAATTCTTCGATAGACAAATTTGCCAAATCCAAATAAGTCCTTCCTGGATTTTTCACACACTAGGACAGTTTTATATTCATCTTTATATAGTTACTTTTGATCGGTGCTTTATTATCCATCATTCCATTTTATTATTTTTTTCTGTAACGTGAAAGAAGTTCGAAATTTCATATCTTTTGACAGGTTATAAAATGTCACTTTACTTTTTTAATGACAAATATTTGATTAGTTCAAAAGAATGATAGAGATGCCTGAAACACAGGGGTCATTCCTGTTAAAAACTTCAAATTTCTTGTCGATAATTTTCTGATTTCAATATAATGTAATATTTTCTCAATATTTATTCGTCCTTTTTTCTGTCTTAAAAAAAATAGTGTATTATATATACACGGGGAAAATATTAGATTTCAGCTCACGGTTTTTTGTCTCCCTCCGCTACGCATCGGGAGCTAAAAATGTTACTGCTATTTCCTTTCTGTATAATAAGTAACTATTTGTTTCACGAATCGTTTCTTCAAAATTATTGTTCATTTTATCCAAAAATTATATATAACGGATCGTAGTTGAATGTGATTGATTGTTGCTGTTATGATACATCTTATTCGGCACCTGGTGAGGTCCTTCAAACACGCAGGGTAAGGATAGTTACTATATTATCCTCAAAGGATAATATACTGTGGTATAACATGAAGTTCTAGTCATGTTGTAGCCATCTAGTGGCAAAGCTCCAAGGTAGGATCAAGAGATCACGACACACACTGTATGGTGTTGCCTTCTATAGTCACATGTACAGACCCTTACGTCTATACGCTACAGAGTGATACTACAAGTAAATCACTCTGCTGACAGATGGCACTACCTGACATATATAATTGAGTGGATTTTTCCACCGACCTATTCAAATGCTAGATCTCTGTACGTGTGACTATAGATGGCAGCGCTATACAGTGTGTCTCGCGATCTCTTGATCTTACCTTAAAGCTCTGCCACGAGATGGCTACAACATGACTAGAACTTCATGTTATACCCTGCGTCTTCGAAATGTTGTCCCAGTTGTCAGCAGACCGAGAGCGGCTGATGAGACCTGGTGGGTCGAAACAGTATTGTCTCGCTTCTGCTGACAATTGGGGCAACTCTGTTCATCCTGAATCTCTTAATTATGAGATCTAACAGTTGAATAGGCCCTTCAAAGTTGAAAGTTGAAGGGATACTGAAGTATCAGGAAAACGCGTAACCTTGACCTATATTAAGAATCGCCCCAGATTCGTCTTACGCCTAGGGCTCCCGCTATCTTTTTGTCCTCCACTGGAAAATGTAGGATTATGTAGTTGAATAGGAATTGTGATTCGGTACTCACCTATCAAAGCTGGTTGGAATATAGCCTCAGGACACCGGAACCTTTCGTTTCCTAGCGTGATAATTTGTCCGTCCGGTAATTCATAGGATTTTTCGAAGCAATTTGTGTTTCTTGCGATTGCGAGATCTTGTTCGTAATCCAAAGCCACGAAGCAGATTTTTTCCTTGAGGTCTCTGATGATTTCTCGCTCTGCAGTGGTCGTGAAGCTGTATCCCCGTTCCGTCAGTAGTTTCATTAGGTAATCGGTGAGATCTCGTCCTGCCAAGTCCATACGAAGAATGGCGTGGGGAAGGGCATAACCTAGAATATACAGAAAATATTTAGATAAATAAAACTTGTCATTATATAAAGTACTCAAAACAATGATTTGAAAATATTTCCATTCTGTTCCTATCGAACAGGGCTCAGGCCAGGATACTCATTATTTTTACTCTTGTATTGAAAAGATATATACCTTGATGATTCAGTCAAGCAATAATATCTTATGCATTATATAAAGTCTTCGACACAGATATTGTACAATGTACATGGTCATGAGTGTCAAAGTTGCAACATTGTTTCTGACTCTTTATCCGCATAAGCTCTCACTGGTGAATCACAAGTACTATACAACTAAAATAATGAATCAAACTTGACATATCTGGCACTGGTGTAGAGCCCTCAATCATCATTAGAAACAGTTAATTTAAGAGACTTCCGAAGATTATTGCTATTTCTCCGCGAAATCTTTGAACGTGTTTGAATAAGTTGTGGACGGAGAGCCTAATCATATTTAGTAGGTAACAATAGCAGCTGAAAGAAATAGTTTTGTTTCCAGTTTTCCAACGGTTGGCTGGCGATCTTCTTAGACTGGTGATTTGAGTGTAGGTATATCGGTATTACATATTAGTGCAATTTTGAGACCTTTCGACTCCCCCATCATGTTTTGACTTTTTCAGCAAGCCCATTTCATATGGGGTAATGAGGATTAATTCTGAATTCTGAATTCTGAATTCTGAATTCAAAATCAAATACTTCCGCAAACTATACTTTGAAAATTATAGTTATTTATACACCACGGTAGTAAAAAGAACATCATTATTACCCGGGCACCGAGATTATATCCTGAGGCTTCAGCGGAGGATTATATAAGGTGTCATGATAACAGTATTCTCCACTACCAAGGTGTGTATTATATTTCATTACATTATATTACCACTAACAATACATTTCAATCGGGATTGAAGTTCTGTGAAACTGAGATATATGGACCTATATTGTCACTATTAGCAAATTTCATTGGCAGGAAGTGGTGGAGTTGAGAGCAGAGTGGAAGCAATTCAAAATCTAGTAGCTGACCATAACAGCATATGACAAGTCGTTATTGACAAATACCTACTAGATTCGAGTGTATTTCGTGCGAGTCTCGCATCACAATTGTGAATTCGGGTTAATTAAAACAGAGGTGGCTATGTTTTCATTGACTAGTAGTTCATGTAATCACGAACACTACTGTAACAGTCGTCAATTTCGTCTTCTAGTCGAGATATTCAATATTTTATTAGACTTTTTTTGACTGCTCAAGTCAGAATATTCATTATTTTTTCTTATGTCAACATCATAATCATAATAGAGAGTAACTATATAAAACAATCATCATATACAGAATATATTCTACATTTCTGCCCCCTTGATTGAACAATCATTATTCATTTTCAGCATCGTCGCTTTCCATTTGTCGTAGGTATATGTGGTAATCTGCAGATTTTGGTAACTTGTCTCCGATATGATCTATATCTTTCGTCCTGACATCTACCACTCTTACTTTTCCATCGTTTCCCATATATACTTTCCCGATAATACCTAATGGCCATGTGTTTATAGGTAGCGTATCATCTACGACCCACTACATCATCGACGCAACAATTTTCTGACCGTGAATGATGCCATCTGCTAACCTTGTTCAAAGTTGGTAGATATTCCTTAACCCATCTTTGCCAGAACATATCAGCCAACGCTTGAGATACCCTCCATTGTTTTCTCAAATTGATGTCGTGCTTATCGAATTTCCCTGGTAGTGGGGAAGATCCACTAGAAGAACTCAGCAAAAAATGATTCGGCGTGAGACTTTCGATGTCCAAACTTTCCTTTGAAACATATGTCAGAGGTCTACTGACTCCTTTCTTTCAGTGATACCTTCAATACATTCTTAACACATTTGATAAGTCTCTCCCAGCTACCTCCCATGTGTGGTGATGATGGTGGAATGAATTTCCATTAAATTTTTCTTGTGGTCATATATTCGGAGACTTTATCATTTACCAGTTCCTCCATGGCCAGTTCTGTGTTCGCTGAGTGAAGGTAGGTTCCATTATCAGAATATATCTCTTCTGGACATCCTCTTCTCCCGATGAATCTTCGGATGGCCATTATGGCTGCATCAGTATTCAGAGACTGGGCGATTTCTAAGTGGATTGCTCGAACACTCAAGCAGGTAAAGAGAACTATGTACCTTTTATCATGTCGCACTTCTAGGTCGGAGAATCCAAAAACGTTGTCGCAACTCATTGATCAATCGGTGTTTCGGATCCAATATCACTAGGAATTTTTGAAAGTAACATAAATCGTCTGATTTCGCCAAACGACCCTTGATTCGTAGGACCCCTTCATCATCAAGAATTGGATTTAATGTATAGAGTCTACTAGTTTTTGGAACCGAAATCTTTTTTTTCAATCTTGCTATTTCTTCTGGAAATGACACTCCTTGAACATGCTTCATCCAGCATTCTTCAGTTAGCTTGAACGACAACCTCTTACAAGGTGAAGACATGCTAAGGAGTCTACTAACCATTTTATGGAAGTTCAGACATTAAGGAAATCTTTCAACTACCTTGAAAGAAAAAACACTTCACGCCTTGAAAATGTGTAAATAATGTTAGGATCTATAGCTAGTGGTAGAAAATAAGAAAAATATGACATGGGGATTCACTTTCTGTAATCGAAGAGAGCTTATTGACTAGAGAGAACAAACCTTCATAAATGGGAACGGTGTGCGACACCCCATCCCCGGAGTCCATCACTATCCCGGTGGTCCTGCCGCTAGCGTAGAGCGACAACACCGCCTGAATGGCCACGTACATAGCAGGAGAGTTGAACGTCTCGAACATGATCTGCGTCATCTTTTCCCTGTTGACCTTTGGGTTCATTGGCGCCTCGGTGAGCAGCACCGGGTGCTCCTCGGGACAAACGCGTAGTTCGTTGTAGAACGTGTGGTGCCAGATCTTCTCCATGTCGTCCCAGTTGGTGATGATGCCGTGCTCGATGGGGTACTTGACGGAGAGGACGCCGCGCTTGCTCTGCGCTTCGTCGCCCACGTAGGAGTCCTTCTGGCCCATGCCTACCATGACTCCCTAGAAGAAGGAACACTTGGTATACACCATGGACGTATATATACGTCCATGGTATACATCAGTTGTTTGAAGGTGATGCAAGTTTCAATCCCAATCAGCCAGAGTACATCTTTTAGACGTATGTAAGACGTGTATTCCACTACGTAAGTACGTCTATAAGACAATTTCCAATGAACTATATGTATCTTTGAGACGTCTGTTTTAGTTCTATTTGGTCCACGTCCATAAACTGATCTTTGAAATCAAGGAAAAATCTTTGACTCTCATCAGTGCAGTATCAAGCCAGAAGTCCTAAGACCGCCGACTAAGAGTAGCCTAGTCGAACAAAAATCGATTCGGCATTATATTCCTTCAGAGGCATCCTCCATAGACAATATGAGAGGAACGCCATCTGAATAGAAAGGAAGGAAAGACTCCAAAACCATATGGTGGAAAATTATCTTTTTTTGTATAATTGAGTTCGTCCTACCTGGTATCTTGGTCTTCCAACGACGCTGGCGAACACTGCTCTAGGTGCATCATCTCCAGCAAATCCAGCTTTACACATCCCAGAACCGTTGTCGACAACAAGTGCAGAAACGTCGTCATCACACATGATTATTCTGCCTAATAATTAGAAATAATAATATCATTTAATGTCATCAAGTTTTCATTTTGCTCGTGGGGTTTATGCGTTATTTTATGAGTTACATTTTGTTCTTGTGTAAAAGACTTACCGTCCTACACAAAAGGTTGAAAGTCACGTAAAAAATATGAATAACTATCGATATGACTGCAAAAAAACACTTAGTTTAACCCATCCATCAGCTGGTAGATAGGTACATCTTTCTTTAGACGCGATCACTGATGTTCGATTTGAAAGTGTTGAATTATATTTTGCAAGTCAAATAAGCACAAAAATTGAATCTTTTTGCTCGGATAACTTTTGAATCAAAGTCTTCGTCTCATTCAGAACTAAAAAGTTTCATGATAATCTTCCTAGCTTGTCGTGATGGATGGACAATATTGACAAAGCCTATGGCCATGCTCAAAATGTTTTTTATAATATATTAATTATTTGAGGAAAAATATACTGAGAGATTGTCTTATGGTTAATAGAAGTCATTCGGTATTTCTTTTTTGAATCATTAAATTTTTCATAATCTTAGCAGATACCTACTAGTTATGCATTATTAGTATATACTCCAAAAACTCTACAAGCGTTGATTTCAACATTATTGAATTACCTTTACCAGTAATGGATAACATTATCCCTTTTCCCATTTTTAATCATTGAGAGTTAAAAATATGTTACACTTAATTCACAGAAATAGACCTGTTGCTACTTTCGTGTGAAATTAATTTTTCTGAAAGTCATCGCTGAGAGATAGTTTTAAGTGGTCCACCCAGTACCTACCTTCAAATCTATATCAATGAGGTACCATATACTACACATCAACATCATTAACAATTTCGGAACAATCACTTTTATGAACATAGTTGCCAAAATAAAAACTATACGAACTAAAAGTAATTGGAGTGTAACATTAAGTATATACTTACTAATGCGATATCCATCTAAGTTTTATGTCCTAATAATTAGAGAAAATAAAAGATAATGTGAATAAATCATCAGCCTATTAGTGTTCATTATATTATTCGAATAATGAATCTTCAAAGGAAAAGAGATATAATATAAAAATAATTCATTCCGCAGATCAGTTCCTTCACCAAAATTGCTTGATGAATCAACTAAAATTATTACAAATTCAAATAATCTACTCGCAGAAATTATGTTCTTGGAATGGATAATGAGAACTCAATTTTCAAACCATAGTCATGGAATTAGGGAATCGAATTAATTAACTTTCATTTTCAATTTATTTTCCTCTCCATCACCCAAATTGCAAGTAGAGTGCCAACTCAAATCACGAATCACATCATGATACATATTCGCAAATGTTAAGTTTTTAAAATAAATGATTGGTAATCCATTTTTATATACCCTTTTATAGAATTGCAGTTTGGAATTATTTTTTTATTTTCAGTAGATTCTCTCCTTCGCCAAAATTGCAAGTTGATTCAACTGAAATCACAAATAATGCAAATGAGAGTGAAAATTCAGTTTTTGAATCAGATGAATAAAAAAATGTTTTAATACCAGCATATAATTGAATTTGGTATCAGAATTGTCTATTTATGAAGGTTGAACCAGTTTGTTGAAGGATATTTTTTCAAGAGGAAAATCTTTTGTAAACCTATTTATAATATGCGTAAAAGCCCCATTTTCGATATACAGGTGGTGTGGTGTGATATTTTAATACTTCATCGTGTTTTTCAACTTTTGTCTATAGTGTCATTCACACACCTCATGGTCTTCTAATCAATTATTAGCAAAATACAAATAGAATGTGTTCGAAAAATAAAGTTTTATGACAGATACATCATTTATGGCATTTGTCTGAGAACCCAGTACAGTTTTCGAAAAACATACAGAAGAGCAAGCACTATCCATAAAAGAAAAAAATCTAAATCAATGTCTCATTGAAAGCAGAGACAGCCCGAAAAAAGTTTAAGAGGATTGAATTATTGTATCTGTTGGTAATGAAAGAGGCTTGATAGCCCAAAATATTGATTGTTCGAAATGCAATAGGTGTACCAAATTCCAGTTCATAATTATGAAAATTGCAGAAGATAATTCCAGGAACGAAAAAAAAATCTTAAACTTTGACACCCTGTCCATCGGAAACGAAGCTTCCTTCCATATATATGATATATTCTGCACCTTGAAATATATGTTCTTTCAGCTTTTGATATCCTGCTACGAAAATGTGACTGACCCTGTATATTATACTCATTAAATGTTGTTATCCAACATGATTGTGTAAGAATATTCCGAAAATTCGAAATTCCTGAAAGTTTTGATTGAGAGCATGGAAGCTGATATTTTAAAAATTCTAGTGTTGTTGGAGAAAGTGTATGTAGGTACTTTAACAAAAAACCAACTATATATCCCAAACATTCCTGAATCGGTATGCATTTTGGGTGGAGGAACTTATCTTAGTCCAGTACAAGTGGAGTGAATCGCATGTTCTACGAAACTACCTATATGAATTTTCAAAATTCAACGAGGTAATTGCTCATTTTCAGATTGTTTTAATGTTATAGGTAAGTGAACAGGACGAATCCGAAAGTAGTATATTTTTCAAAACAGTTAACAAAATGAGTTATTTGGCAAAATATTGTTTAGGTACCTATACAGGGTGGGTCACGGTGGATGGCCTATTAGAAGTATCTGGAGAACGATAAGACAGAACATTCTGAAAATTGGGATGCTTTGATAATTGAACATTCTCTATTCATCTAAAATGTTTTCATCGATACTGTGTTGCCACTTCTATCAGAAACAACTAGCAATTTTGTTATTTCAAATGGAACACCCTGTATTTTATTGCATTTTTAGATTCTTCCTGAGGAGCTGATTTCATCAATGTATCACACTTGGGGTCTAGCAGAAATGATTACAGAGATATAGGGTATTAAAAATCTAGATTTTTCAATTTTAGGATTTTGTTGTGTCGAAACTATTCATTATTGATCAAAACGGCTTACTTGTCCCTATCTTAACTTTTGATTCACTATCTACTGGAATTTTATTGGAAAAAATACAGGGTGCTTCAAGATTCAGAATTCTGATCACCCTGTATCTGTTCCAATTAAATGTCAGTAGATAGTGAATCGAAAGTTAAGATAGGGATAATGAATAGTTTCGACACAAAAAATCCCAAAATTGAAAAAATCTCGATTTTGAACACCCTATATTTCTGTAATCATTCCTGCTAGACCCCAAGTGTGATACATTGATAAAATCAGCTCTTTAGGAAGAATCTGAAAATGCAATCAAATACAGGGTGCTCCATTTAAAATAACGAAGTTGCTAGTTGTTTCTGATAGAAGTGGCAACACTGTACCGATGAAAACATTTTAGACGAATAGAGAATGTCCAATTATCAAAGCAACCCAATTTTCATCATGTTCTGTCTTTTCGTTCTCCAGATACTTCTAATAGGCCATCCACCGTGACCCACCCTGTATATAAACGTTGGTTCGCCTAGCCAAGGAACTTGATATGAGATAATATTATTGACAGGTGTAAAAATGGAAAATGTAGCCATTATTCTACATATTTGTGAGAATTCCACACCTCCACCTTGAAACAAATGAGATGCTCTCAATTTGACTGGTTACTATGGCAACCAAGAAATTTTCCGGGAATTTTTTCTAGGGGTTATATTAAGTGGACATATTTCTACATTTGACATCCTTGCTAAGAGTATAGTGATAGGAAGAGGATTCATATTGAATAAATCAAGCATGAACATGGACATGAAATATGTAAACATTTTTGATTCAGACATTGTCATCTCATCTCTATTCTTGTTACGCTGCGCGACTCGAAAATATTTCAAAATAGTTGTGACTTGATAAAAATTGTTGCTCTTGTGTTACAAATGAAAACTGTATCATCATTATGCAACTTTTGTACAAACAATATTTTACTCACTTTCAGATTCACCCTGTACACCTTACATTTTTTATTGTGCAAGCCGTTATCAGAATATCTTCATTTTCACCAACCTATTATTGCACAGATTTGGGAGTGGGCGAAGGTTTATAAGGACTTTTAGTACTACTGATACAACTAAACAATTTAACTATATGAACTGAAAATAATCATTAAAACGTAATATCGATATTCATAATTCAGAGTGATATTCAACGTTCACCGAATTACTAACCTGAGGTAGTTTACACACGGAACAGAAAAAAATCTTCCCAACTCACTGACCAAAGCTAACTGACTGAAGATTAAAGCAACAACGCTATGGTGAATTTTGATGCTGCTCTGATTAATCAGAATACATTGGAAACGTTCGCTGATTTTTACACCGTTAAATGAAATTATTATTTATATAGTAATTAAACACATCTGAATGGCTCAGCTACTATATCTTTTAGCCAACTCTTTTAAATTTTTTTTATATGGAATATTTTTATGTACCGGGTGACAACTCATCTTTAGATGAATCATAATGGATTCAGAGTTAGGAGGGTTACCTTACATATGACCTTTTCCACCCAGTTCGGAATGTTAAATGGAACACCTTATATATTTAACACTTTTTTGGGTTTTGCATTTAGACGATCAGGAGTTGGTATACAAGGTTTCACGGTAGATGAAACAACATAAGAAGTATCTGATGAAGAACAGAATGACAGATCATTTCGAAAATTTGTAGAAGTGAATGATCGAATATGCTCAATTCGTCAGGAATATTTTCATCAATACGGCGTTTCCGCTTATATCGGAAAGTAGTATAGCTACTTTACCATTTCAAATGGAAAACTCCGTATAGTATGTCATTTGATTCCTCATTACTTCATCTAAAAACTCCCTATACCTATCGGTGACAGTCTACGTGATGAAAATCTTCACTTATGCCAATTTCATTTTCTTCATTCGATTTTCAGATTCAATAATCCTATCAACTTTTGAATCTCATACCCTTGAAACTCTGGAAACTATGGGTTGTCTAAAAGAATGGCTCACC